ACATGCACAGGTGTCCAGCAAAAAGCGCACTTTGGAAGCCGGCTGGACCCAAAGCAGGTGGAAAACTCCACTGGAATCCGAACCGTTGCATCATCCAACCTGACTGGACGTTTTCCAGCTGAAAGCGGTTCGAACATCTCTAGATAGGGGATAGGAGGACGGCTTCGGGGCCCACTAACAGTTCAAAAGATCGACTCGCTTGGGACAACTGTGTTTGGGAAAACTGCAGCAAAAATCCACACACACACAAACCTACATTTCATGAATCCACCCCTAAAGAAACAAAGTGACATATGTGCAGTAGTGATGGATTCCACGGCCAACAGGGGAACACATCTTCTTGAGCAAATGGAAAACCATCGCATTTCTTTATTCCAGGAGGCCATGCATGTGCGGCACCGAAAATGCCTTGAGCGCCGACCTAACCCCCGAGACCGTCCCTCAAACTTTTTCAGCAGCTTGGCGCACCTCGTTGAGCAGGTCCTGGATGCGAAAGGTAGAAATATCGCACGCGTGGACATCTTTGAGACGAAGAGTCCCCGAACTCCATTTTTTACCACCTCCAGCTGGCACATGCCCAATTGCCCAGTTGCATTGACATGCATACATTTTTGTTGGGCTCAGAAGCTCTAAACTACCATTCCCCCCACCCCGAATTCCCCCCGATTTTGTCACACACACACACGCACAGACTGGAAGCGTACACCACATTGCCTTGCCCTTTGGTAGATATGTTCAAGGGCCAACGGGGAATCTCGTATATATGTGAGAATACCCAGCTAACATACCAGAAACGAGCTCTGCAAATGGATTGCACAGCCATAGATGGGAACTGGCACGCTTGTGCGCTTGGTGTTTGTCGGAACTTTAAAGGGGGCCACATGTTTGAGGTCAATGTGGAGGCAATCAACATGACCCAAAGTTGGACAGGTTTGATTAGTTGGATGACCGACAACTCCTTCGATGGCCCAAATTGGCTTCCTTTCTAACCAAGGGCTTCCTTCCTGATGCTACACACATGGTCCTTTGCAAGCGATTGGAGCCTGTTCGACGGGTCCCCGGCAGTGTGGTCTGGCTTGGTGTGTCGATTCGAAGTCGAGTCACCTTCCATGGGGGTCCGTGCAAGGTGTTTTGTTTGAGGCGAAGGGTACCATTTTTGGGGTGAGGGACAACAGCAGGAAGCCCGCCACTTTGAGGCGGCCACCCTGGCACACGCCCAATTAGGAGGCCAGCGGACGGGAACAAAAGCAAGCAGTTTCCTTGTTAAATCATGCAGACCTACCCGAATGACCACAATTCAGTTTAATGGTCTAATGATTCCTTTGTAAGCGTTTACCGTTTGGGTTTCCTTTCCCGGGGTCAATAACAAAACTCGCCAGGATATCGCAGGGACCGTCAACGTTTGGTTTCCTTTGGGTTTCCCTCTGGCTTTTGTCTTTCTGTCTCATTCTGGCTCATTCTTTTGGGGGCTCCTTCTGGGGGAGGGGCCTTCTGGCTCATTCTGGTTTCCTTTAGTTGCGTCCTTCTGGCTCTTGCATTCCGCCCAACAGCTGGGCCTGCAGCCTGCGGCTCCCTTTGGGCTGGAAACCACGGCCCGGTCCTTCAGAAACTGCCGGGCCTCTTCCTTTGAGAAGACCTCCGTGGCCGGTCCTCACAAGTCGCAGAAGCTCAGCTCGAGCGAGTGAGCGAAAGCTGACATCCACATGCCATGCCATGCGAGGAAACGGTAAGGAGAAACAGGGGGTTTATGTACACACAAAATATACACACACACATATATATATATATATATATTGACAAAGCATATTTTCATGGATGAGGTAAGGAAAATGAATTGAAGTAATATTAATATTCTAGTTGCAATGATTATACACTCCAACACTTCGGACCATTTAAGGATCATGCCTCATACCTGGGTATATACCCGAGAAAGAGTGGCTACATAGTGGTTGCACACAATAGTCGCGTCAATACACGTCTGGGGGCACACCCGGGTGAATTAGATGGCACAACTCCCGGTAGATGTGGGTAAGTAAACAGGATGACTAAAACAAAATGATATAATTGTGCCATCTACGTCCACCCGAGTATAAGACCTGGCGATGAACATGTCTTGTCAGTTGCTCCGATTGTCGGTGCGGTTCAAAAGATGAGTGATGCGATCTTGGGACTTCAAGAGCAAGCAAGAGGACACCACCCGGTTTGAGGGCCCCACGCCCCAGGATTGCGCGAAGTCTGCAGAGTTAAAGGGCGAGCAAAAAGGTAAACCACACGGAGCTTGCCTCACGCAGAAGTGACTTTAACATGAGCAAACCAGTACAAATTGCAAATCCTCCTGACATTCAAACTGTTCAACAAAAGTGGTTTAATCATTGGTCATGTCAAGGCGTCAAACCATGATTGACTGTTCAAACCAAAAAAGCGTTTTAAACACATACTCAATCATATTTTGGCACAAACGCTGGGGCACACCGAAGGTCATGGTGCCAGAGTCCGTTCAAATCATGTCAACTCCAAAATGTAAAGTCAACTCCAAAATGTAAAGTCATGTTGGAGGAGACAGCAAAAAGTGGTTCCGGCAAAAGGGACTTGAGTCCAAAAATCCGTAGGAGTGGGGGGTCCGGGACCGAACTCCATTCTAGTATTCCCCAACTCCAGGGGTCAGCCTCCTTAAAAATCCGCGCGCAAAATCGATAGTAATGGCTTAAAGCCTCACCATCACTGAAGTGGTTGAACAGTACTGGCTTGTAATATGCCCATCCCTAAAGAAGCAGGCAGAACCACTAGAATTTCTAGCCAAATCTCACAAACATTCCAAAGCCTGAATGAGATCAGGCATCCCCAAGCAAGTGACTTTCTTCATGGCTTTCGCTGGCTCTAAACTCGTGTTCGCTCGATTGTTCGCTCGAGGGCCCAAGCTGAAGCGCAGGGAGAAGCGAAAGCTCCCGTGGTCAGAGAGGCCCTCGCTGAGAACCGCCACCTCCAACCTGCCAGTCCAGGAACGTGAAAACTTGGCCCTAGGGTTCCTTGCCCCATGAAAAACGAATGGCCTTGGGACCCAACTTGGATGATGAAACTTGGGTGAATAGTGGTGACTATATGAACCCCTGTGTTTTAATGGTGGTTTGAACCCCAGGGTGGGTTGCTGTCTACGCCACTAGAATGCTCCAGACCCAAAAGTAAGTCAAGTCCGAAACGGAACTCGACGTGGTGAGTTTCCTTGGGGGGTTCCTTACCAGTTGCTTTTCCACCCCCTGGACAATATGGGGACATATGGGTGTGGGTCAATATTCTGGTGTGGAACGTTCCGCGGTGACGCGGACGTCTGGAACGAGTCAGTTACGCAAGGTCGCTTGTTCCGGACCTCTGGGAGGACATGCGTGGAGTCCTCAAGCACACGTTCATCTAGTGTGAAACGACTAGGGGCTCGCCGCCATCGTTGCCACCCTCGCGTCATTGGGACACCGATGCGCTGTAGTCACGCCCGCCACGCGCGCCAGCCGATGCACAAGGCTGGGAGGCGAAAGCCGATGTCCACCGATGCGCAAGCCGATGCAGGGTATCCTTCAAAGACTTCTTTGTCTCCAAAGCCCTGGCACATGTCGTCCTTGAAGGCTTCTTGGGTGGCGGGCCACGTAAGAAGCGCAGCTACTTACATGGCGCATGTGTGTGCATGTGGACTTGGTGGCAAATTGCTCCGCTGCGTCTGGAACACGTCTGGAACGGGTCTGGAACGGGGTCTGGAACGGTTACGCGAGCGGCTTGCACTTTGGAATGCTGGCAAGCCGCATGTAAACATGTCGTTTCAACCGAGAACGGTATCGAACCGTTACCGTATCGTATCGAAAGCGGCGGAATTGTATCGCACCGAACCGAACCAAAGTTCCGGAACACCGATACTCCTTTCTTCATTTCTTTCTCCTTCTTTCTTGCTCCTTTGCTCCTTCTTTCTTGCTCCACGCCATTTCAGCCTTGGCCATTGCACTTGCACACCCGACAAAGAACGACCATCTGAATCAATACTCTAGAAATAAATATACATAAACAAGGTCTGGAACGGAAGGTCTGGAACATGTTTCTAGGCAAGGTCTGGAACGGAGGTCTGGAACGGAGGTCTGGATCGCATGTGGGTTCCGGACCCTGTTCCGGACCTTACAAATTGACTCGCAGCCATATGTCCAGTAGTGAAATCGATTCCCTCTGAAACCAATAGGGGTAAATACAACTATATTATTCTCAGCAAATGGAGGCAACCGGAACATGGTGAACGCTTTGGTGCAACGACCCTGCGACAAAAAGTTTCAATCTGTTTGAGGGTCCGATGGAAAATGTCCTTTTCCAGTTTGTCAACCAAAAAGTTAAAGGCCAAAATCGAAGCAAATAGCAATCAAGGACTCAACAGCCGAAGCTTTTCCTTGGGTCATACCCAAATCCCGCACTCGCCTCAGGGGCTACCATCTACTCTCTATGGTGCTGCTCCTTTGGCTACCCCAGATGTTTGGGGAAGCCAGAGGGAGGTGTCCCTTTGATTTCCCTGTAAAACCACTAGGAAACAGGTGCCCTCAAAGAGGAAACTGTACAACAACTAGAAAACAGATGCCCTCAAAGAGAAAACAAAAACGAGCATTCCACTTGGAGGTAGGGACTGAACATGAATATTGGACTTCGCGGCTCCAAGAATGAAGTAGGGCTGGTTTCATGTCGCCCTCGATTGGAATTTGGGGGTGTCAGCCAACCCCTTCAGGGGGACCCAAACCAGCAAATGGACCGATGATATTATTGCCACACACATGTCAATGTGTCAAACTGAGAAGGCCCAAAATGTATATGTTGCCTTTTGCTTGCCCAGTGGGCACAACAGAAGGACGTCAGTCTTCCTAGTTGGTTGATGCAAAGGCAAACAACAGGCAACCAGGAAACATGGGCTGGGCAAGCGGGTGATTGGCTCAATCATCTCAGGCCAAACCTCGGGTGGTCATGGGGCAACGAAGTGCCTTGATTCACCTTACCTCTAGCTGGTGATTTGGCTTGGTGACTTGGACGCTGCGCGCGTAGCTTACCACTTTGGCTTCAAAAGGATGTTGGGTTCAACCCCCCAACCAATCCAAGCCACCAATTCAAGGGTTCCTAGTTGTTTGGTTTTTTTGATAAGGAGCCCCCCCTCCCAGAAAAAACCTACTGCAGGTTTGGAGTAGACTACCAAAAGTACGGCCAGTGACTGACTCCTATGCGTTGGTCTCCAGAGAAACCCTCAAATTAGTGGTTCCCCTTTGGCGTTCCTTTCAAACAACCCAACATACAGCAGCTTCACCAGTATAGCGCAGTGGATGGACACAAATCCTACACCAATTGGGATGATAAACACCTATCAACACTGTGAGCAGCCACCTACCAGCTGGCGCAGGATTTTGCTCAACCACACTATGTCTAGGGGCGACTTCCTCACTCTTTAGGGATCCTCCTTTCCAAGATGCCAGCAAAAGCAAGTTGAAACGGCTGGTTGCCCGTCACCGACTCACGCCATCAGATCTGAGCAGCCGGGCCGCGGTTCCATTGCAGGGTGATTCCTGCGAAGGGCAGGAGAAGGTCTTTCGGAGGAATCCCCACATGCGACTGTCTTGATCTTTAGCAGACCCTGTTTGGGGTGGATGAAAACATAGCCGAAAGGAAAAACCACTCACGAGACAAACCCAGATGCGTTTTCTGAAGGGCTGGCCGTGGATCTCAGATGATTGTCGAAAATGGAAATGACCCTTGAGATAACTTGAGTTGCAGAAGCAGGTGAGGACCATGACTACTTGATCTCTTCAAAGGGCAGAATTTGGGTCTAAAACCCCATGTTCCACAGCCAGTTGCCTTTGTTGCTTGCGACTCAGGCAACGATGAGGTGACTAGAAACCGACTTACCGTGACTGGATGATTGACAACATGGTGGTTGGGCTGTTGCAAATGGAGGGATGGCCTACAACAGTCCCCAAAAGGAATCCTCAAAATCAGACACACCCATATGCGATTCCCCATCTGAGAAGGACAACTTGGATCTTCACGTCTGACAGCCCCCCAAATCTCCGACGCGCTTGCCCCCACCTCCAGGAGGGGTAGAAAGGATTGTGGCCCCAAAGCAGCAGCCTCGGTACAGCGCCAATTGGCCAGTCACCACAGCCTTGCTGTTTGCTCAGGATAGGCATCAGGAATCAGCGTCAAACACACTTGTGGCCGGGGGCAGCCATGCTCCCCAAAAAAGAGGTCAACCTTATTGTTTGACACCTCGTGCCTGTCTTATCATTATCCAAACGTTGTTGGCTGTTGGTGGTCCGCGTGACAACACGGCAAATGAGCTTCGCACGTCAGGCAGACAGTGGCTGCTTTGGCTATTCAATTGTGAGTGAAGCTGCCGCTTGCAACTGGGGTTGTCCTTTTGCCCCCGAATGAGCAAAAGCTCGATCGCCTTCTGGAAAAGCCAATGTTGTGTCTTTGTTTCGGCGACCCCCGCAAAAAAACGAAAGAAAGTAGCCTGCAAAAAAACACCAAAGTCCGGGAACTCAGGGGAGTGAGTGGCTTGTTGACCATCCCTATCAAGCAACCGCTGGGCTGAAAGCGGCCTCAAACAAGTGACTGAAGTCCAGAACCTCAGGCAGTGAGTGGCTTGACCTACCAACCACCGGGCTAGCGACAAGTCTCCAAGTCCAGCCCGGCGTCCCGGCTGACGGCCCTGCAGGCCAGAGACTTGGCACTCGAAGAGGGCCTGCGATGCGAATGAGCCACGTGGCTTCCGTGCGTCTGTGTAGGGCTACCTCCCCCATTGTGAATCCAGGGATCCGAATCTTTCTAATCTCCAGAAACCCGGGGAAAGCGGATCTGGTTTTCGAAAAGAACGATGGTTGGAAAGAATGGAAAAGGAAACAAGCCATGGGTGTGTGTGTGTGTGTTTTTTAGTCTCGGCTCCCTCCCTCTTCAGGTCAGTTTACAGGCAATTCTAGAGGGAAACCAAAAGGAACCAAGGAAAGTCCATTTGTGGGCGCCTGCTGTCTCCAAACCATCTAGCCAACTGACAAAGAGGAGATATTTCCAAGTCCGTGTTGCTCTTTCTTTGGTCTCCTTTCGTTGGGTCCCATGTTGGTTGATGGGAGGGTTCAAAACATATAAGTCATGATCATAGGAGCCCGACCTTTGTGAATTGTCTGGTCAACCGCTTAAGTGACTTGACGCAAGTCGTGACTTTCGGAAGGGAAACCTAAGATTGATCAACGCATGCCTGATATAATACCACATATATACAAATATACATCGTGGGGATGTGCCATTTATGAAGATACCTTCTCTTTCTGCGGCATCACCCCCCCCGCCCCCCCCTGTTAGTTTGCCATGTCGAAAAATCCGGGGTCAAGGGTGACTCACATGCCTGGACACGATGAAAACTTTCGTAGAGCATATCCCGGGATCGTGATGTCAGTACAGTCCCCGTCATACTATTACCTCCTTATCTAATGATTTGGCCATGGGTCAAAATCCCGTACCCCCAGTGAACATCCCAATCCCCACTAAAATAGACTAAAATGGGTGGTGCACCTGCCCCAAGATGGTGCCGTTGGTTTTGCATCCCTATTTTCCCCCTAGCTCTCTGTCCAAAAGCCTGTGCGCTTCAAATCTCCAGCCCTTCAAACGACTGCCATCCGACGAAACGCTTTTCCATCACTTGCATTCCAAAACTCCGAGGCCAAGCTCGGCGATTCAGGGGACACCGATGCTATTAGGATATCCATACGGGTGTATCTCAACTAGATTCTAGTTGCCCGTCCTTGTGGTTTAGTCATTGGAAAAGCAACTATGGCGCCCAAGCGAGCTCCCCTACGAATCGGTTTGCTCATTCTCACCCCGTGGGAGAAACATAACGCGGTGCTTGCGGCTCCTTTGGGTGTGGCTCAAAAGTTACGCAGGTTGTTTCCTTCGTTCCTTTAAGGCCAAAAGGGGTACCCTCAAAGACACACCGGGATGATGTAATCCATCCCCAAACGTAGCACATATCCGTGCCAAGGTAAGCACCCCCATGTGAATCGGCCAGCATGGCCGGCAATCCATGTCTTGGACCTGTTGGCCTAAAGCAAATTAGAATGGCTGCGTGGGGTACTTGAAAGTCAATGTACGTTAGATTCATAGTGTGCAATGGCTTAGCTCGCTATTTTGCATGTGATGCAATTTGTGTGAAGCGGGGCCAACATCCCAAGGCTCTTGTTCCCAACCTTTGCTGCCCGCCTGGGTCATGGAGCCGGAAGGTAGCTGCACCTCCTATGGGCGGAGTCTGACACAAACGACATGCGAGCTTTGTTGGTTGTTTGCTAAGGTGAAAGCGGCCCCTCAAACAAAAAGGAAACTATGGGAACAAGACCGATTTGCCCCTCAGGGACCCAAAGACAAAAGCTGATCACCTTTTGGGGCCGCGCAAAAAGGGAATCCACAGTGGATGGACGAACGCCCACACCACTGTTCAGAAACCCTGGAATGATGTGATTCCCCCGCAAACACCCCAAAACAATGGTTTCAACCACGTTTCTTAGGTGGTGCGACATGGATTTTCTCCTTTTCAAATAGAAAAAAACCCAAATCGGACCTTTTGATCAACCCCCAAATAAGATACCCCCCCTTTTTGGCTCTCTTTGAGAAACCGAAGCTATATTGTGGGGTCACCTCCAAAACAGAGGACACGCCCAAAGTCGGAAAACAAAAAACCAGCTTTCACTTGGAAAAGCTGGGGGGAGCCTCCAAAATCAGGACAAGACTCCAAAAGAAACCGGAGCCATTTTGGGGAGGTAACCTCAAAAAAAGGGGGCACACCCAAAAACAGGCCAAACATAAGTGCTTCAGGGAAATCCAAAAGGAAAAACATCGTTTTGGCCGGGCAGCCTCCAAAACAAGGAGCCCAAAACTGGGAAAACCCACCCAAAAAAAACGGAGGGGAAAAACAAACAAAACACCTCTCTTCGCTTCGGACGCCTCGCGGCGTTGCAGGTCTGCCCCCCGGCGCTCCAAGAGCGCGTGGGCCTTGGAGGTGACGCCTCGGACGACGCTTCTTTTTGTTTTTGCGGCGGCGGCGCGGTGTTTTTTTTGGGCTCCGGGCGCCCCAAAAGGCCTCGTCTTTGGAGGTGATTCCCCCCAAAGGGCCTCGGGTTTACGGTTGGAGTCCCTTAAAAGCCAAAATAGGGGTATCCTATTTGGGGGGTTGACCAAGCGCTTTCCTACTGTGAATGCACGAAATCCATTTCGATCCAGTTTGAAACCATGGTTGACACCATAACGTTTGTTGGTATTTACAGGGGAATGAACATTTCAGGGCGTCTGAACAATGGTGCAGGAGTTCGTCCATCCACAGTACTGTGGCTGTACCTTTGATCTCTGTTCCAGCACGAGGACTATGATTAAATTGGGGTGTGGTACTACGGATGAAATCAGTTGAAGTCATGATCATACTGTGGATGGAGCGTTGCGGCCCCGGGTGGGCCCAAGGGGGGGAGGGCTTTTGCGTCGGTTGCCCCGTGTACTCATGGAACGTGCGTCCCCCCCCCCGGAACTGCGCACACGCTTGTCGAATTTGCACACCTGAACAAGTGCACCAACTCAGCACAGCGCACACACGCAGCCGAATTTTGCGCGCGCCCTCAGTTTCGGACCCGACGGCGAACCTGCCGTGCTGTGCGTAACCCTACCCTGTGAGTTGACCAGCTAGGCGCAAAAATGAACCCTATCATGTTTGCACCGATTAAACAAGCTCTGGTTGGGCTTCCAGGTTGTGCGCTTGCGTTTGATTGGTTTGAAAGGAAACCACAAGTTGACAAGGGAAACCAAGAAAACACTTATCATTTTGGCGGACTAGGGAAACCAAAATGACACAAGGGAAACTAACAGTTGACACCAATCATTTTGGAGGACCGGCGCCGCAATTCGACACAAATCCCGCGCATGTTGCAAGGGAACCACGGATACCAACTTTCGCAGGTCCCAAAATTTCGGGGTTGGAGATGGGATGGAGCTGAGGGATCTCATCTACCAATCTGGTCATTTCTTTTGGCATCCCTTGGCTTCCCCGAACGGGCATAGATTGGCCGATCCATCGTTTCCCTTTTATATGAATACCATCCAGCCAAGTCATTCAGGATTCAATCGGGCTTCCTATGTTGGGGAAAACACAAAAACCAGAAGAGCTGTCGTCTGGCTTGCTGAGACACGATCAAGTTAGAACATCGGCCAAGGTGAATCCCACCAGGTTAGTTTAAAGGGAAACTGCAAGAAACTCATCATTAGGGTCTCTTTGACACATAACCAGGGCAACATGTATGTATACTATATACATATACATATACATATGTATATATACATTATAACTCATTTCAAGCATCAATTTATATCTGAATTTCCTTGGTGAAGGGTTTAATAATACAGATCGAAAATGAACACCGTTTTAGACCAATTTCTTACAGGGTGTTTTGACCCGACCTGACTAGGGATCCCACGGAAGCTTACCGTGTCCGGCCGCGCGTCAGGGTTGTGGTCCCCCTGCTCCTCCGAGCGTGAAGCGCGGAACCCCTTCTTGGTTTTCGGATTGTTTTCTGCTTTTCGAATTTGGACTCCCAAAACGGGCTGGTTTTTCTTTCGGTCCAAAAAAATGATCCCAGAATGGGGTGAACTTTTTTTTGCCCCATACCTACCTTCACTTACCTGGGTTTGGTTTGCGGCTCATCTTGCTATGAACCGACGACCCGTCTGTTCCGCTCCTTGAAGATGATCTCCACGGGTTCACTGGCGCCCCTCACAACGTGCAGCCGGTAGGGATGCTCCTGCCGCCGGTTGAAACCAACGGCGCGAAACCAATGCGAAGTCGATCAAGGGCTATGAATTACTGGGGATCCTTTGATGGACACCCACATAGGGGCCTTCCCCCTACAGATTAACACGGAACCAAAAAACATGTTTGTGGAGAAGCTCCTGTTGGGAAACCCCCTTTCGGGTTCTGTGTCAATTTGTAGGAGAGTATGTCCACTTTCTTGTGGGAAATTACCTACACTGACCAAAGACAGCGCCCTTAAATAGATGCGTTCCCCGTGTACAGGCAACAAATTCCTCTGAGTACTCAGGAGGGTATCCTACTCCGAAGTGGACATGAACTAGTCGAGGTGGACTAATACTACGCACCAAGGAATGAAACAAACAATGCAACATCTGCCAACCAAAGGGACTGCGGACTTAGGCAGAATGGTGTGCTGCGATTGCTTTGCACTTCAGGGCCCAACATCATTCGACTCTGCCAAGCTCGGGCAGCTCCCCAAATGGCTCTTATTCCTTTCGCGTCCGGTCAACATCCAACAACAAAGGTAATTGGCATGTCTTTGCTGAAGGGACCATTTTGGTGACGGAAACCAAAAGTGAAACCGGGCCCACTTTAGGCGGCGTGGCCCAAATGCTCTTATCAAGGACTTATATTGTTTGGGCTCCCCCTCGCCCCAGCCCCCATGATAACTGTCGCTAGGCTTAGCAGCGTGGCTTAGCCGAGCTCTTAACCCACCATGGTCTGACCTGCTGAGTCACGGCAAAAGTTATATCACTGTTCGGTCATGGAAAAATATAGAAAAACAAGCTTAAACTGTCAAAAGTTAACAACTCAAAAGGTACACAGTTTAAACTGGTCAACACACAACTTCGTCTTTCACAACTCAACATGTAAACAGCAAGATCCCAAGCTTCATCCTGGTTGATCGCCCCTGCCCTGTAGGTCCTGCGTGACCAAACCAGCGTAGAAGTCTTTGAAGCGACGCGTCCGGTGAATGACCTGTCTCGCAAATCCAGGGCCAAACTCGGGTGTCAAGGGCGCGCTTAGCAATCTCCAACATACAGGGGTTCAACAACTGCTCACAGTCATTTCATGTTGTACGAATTGCTTGATTTGGCTTTGCGTCCCGAGAAAGGAAAAGAGCGTTTCGCACGAGGAATCTCTGAAAAGGCCCTGTTGGAAACCACCGGCCAAAAGGGATTCGCCCTCCCCCACAACCGAAATTATCTCGCAATACTTATGATCACCAGAGCCTGTGAAAATAACAGGCTACCCTTCGGGACCATGACCAAACCCGAGAAGGCTGTCAAAAAAAGGAAACCCGAAAGGGGGCTTTCGAGGAAGTCGCGGTATCTTCCCAGGCCATAGTTGACAAAGCCGCTGAGATCCAATAGTCATGCGTTTTTTCTTTGAAGGTGCCTTGGTGACTGGAAGATAATCACAAAGAAAGTTTACCATTAGGAGAGTTCGTGCCTCGACATTTGGGATCCCATGGGTCTAAGTGGTCAGTGTCCTGTTGGTGTACACTGTAAGAACTATAAAAAATGGGTTCCCAAAAAACTATTTAGGACACATCCCCTATGTCAAAATAGGGGGGGCCCCGCAACGGTTGGTTTTGCTTTTGGTTTCCCTGTGAGCCAACCTAAAAAGGCTACCCTTACAAAACCACACGCAAATGTGGATCAGTGAACAAAACGCAAACTAATCCCCCCAGGCCTTGTGTGCACCGTAGAAGAATTGCTCCAGCCTCCAGTGGGTGATCGGTTTCACCGAATGGCTGCTTAGCTAGGGCGTGTCGGGCAAGGCCGTTCTCAATCATATCACCAACCAAGGGAAACCTGTAACTGAGGGATCTTTAACCAGGGTTGCTTGCTTGCTTGTTTTACCGAAATCGGGTAAGCTCAAGAACTAACTAGTGCAGAATCATGTTGATCCCTGAAGCGATTAAACTGAAATCCCACAAAACAGAAACCCCCACCCAACATCTAACTTGGGCCAAACCGTTGATCAGGTGCCAACATTGTAACATTGAGCCATCTCCTTGCCCCTGAACTGTCACTAATCCCTTCTCTCAAGTACCCTGAAGGGGGGAATGTTTGTTTAGTGTGGGGACTGCTTGATTTAAGAACATGTCCCCAGACTTGAAGTCAGGCAGGCGATACAAGGCCTGACAGAACCTCTAAAAGGGATGCACACTCCTCGTGATGAAAACCTGGTACTGTATTAAAGTGGTCTATCCAAAACTAGGTGAAGAAGTAAACGGGCTGCTGCACCTACTTATGGTTGGGACTGTCTCTTACGAACCTTCGCTTACGAGACATATGTGGTGATCTCTATCTTCGCCACCATCCCCTTCAACAATCCAATGTCTGTCCACCAAAGGACTCAATCAGCGAACTCTGAAATGGTCCTTGCCAACTTCGCGTGCTTGATATCCAAGACAGCGGTCATCATGGACGCACAACATCGATCAGCCAACCACTTGGAAATTGGCCTTATCCACTTTGACTCCTTAATTTTGAAGACAGCTGTTATCATGGAGACGTTCACAAGTTCAACAACACGTGTGAGCAAAACCTAATCATCATGAGCACTCATAATCACACACAAGCATGCAAATTGAATGTCAGTAAACACAGCCTTTATCACAGTGACAGAAAGATCCCTTTCCTGGCTTTCCCTTGAAACCCCTAAGGGTGCAATTTCCGAAGAAACGAGCAGGTTCCCTCTCAAACATGGCCGAAAAATGAAACTGACCCAATGGGCCAAAGGGAAACTCCTTTTCAATTGGGGTGATCTTTTCGACCGCCCTGTGGATGGGATAGGTGGTGTATCCATTTATAGGGCCTCATCTATCTCAAGTGGTGCGAAGTTGTTTTTTGTCCACCCACGGTGGGGGAAATAAATCCGCCCTAGGGGAAATGGGCGTGTCTCAAAATATCGGGGGCCCTTTTGTCGGATGGTTCTAAAAGGATACCAAAAGAAAACAACCTGGAGGGGTCTCCAATTGCAGAAATGCCCAAATAATCCCCCCCTATGGGGGAGGGTCCCCCAGATCCATTTTCTAGTCTTGCCTATCAAAGGGAACACGATGAATGGAATTCCGGGGTGAGGATTCCAAATATATGGCTGTGGCTCAAAAGATGTGCCCAAAGTGGCCCCATAAATCGAAACACAGACTAAAACCCGCGATTTGCCCTAGCGCTTTCATTTGGGGCCGCACCCATTGTTGCAGGTCTATATGGACCCGGAGCTCATTTCGGGGTTCCCTTGGAAGCTAACACAGAACGGTTGCGTGAATTTGCGTGGGCTTCGGAAGGGCCACTCTTTGCGCCGGGCTCTAACTCCAGCGGCACCTCCACCGTCTTCCCCGGCGGCCTTTCAGGCAAAAGCCCTTCGTTGAAAACGGAAGTGGTTGATACTGTGGATGGTTACGAAATCCAGAAATCGCACCTCTTTGAAACTATGGTTGAGACCATTGCTTGTTGCTCTTTACAGGAGAGTCATCTTTCCAGCGTTTCTCAGGTGGTGCAGGGTTTCGTCCATCCACTAGACGACTGCCCTTCTTCTTGCTGGTGCGATAGGTAAGGAATGTTGGCATGACTCCTATAAATCAGCCTTTGTGGCTTCCTTTTATGGGGGGCCCCAACAAAAACAAAAGACACACCCATATCGGCGGCGTTCCAGGGATTTGCCCCAGGGGACTTGGTAAGGCAGATTAACATCGAGGGGATTGAAAACACTGCAACACCGGCTTGTTTCTGGCAGGCCTTGATGAACTGCAAAAAACGAAAACTCCAAGTTGTAGAAACCCAACTTTGCGGTCCAAACAGGGTTTATCAAGGCAGTAGACGAAGCTGGTACTGTAGAAACTCAACGAGGCATTCCTGAGACAAGTAAACAAGGCAAGTTCCTGAAACTCCACAGTAGACCAGGGCACTGACGACTGACACCCAAGCAAGGGCTCAAGCTCATCGACTGACACCAGGGCTTGTTGCCTCACTTCCGATCCAGCGGAGTGGTCAATGTTTTTTTCCCCCAAACTTGTTGCTTACCAAAATGGGCCAGCCCCAACAGTGACGAAAGTCCGGAACGGAATACGGGAAAATAATTGTGCGGCCAAACAACATGAAAACTGGGATCCAGAATTCATAAAACCGACGGTTTGATTGGTAAACAATGTCCCATTTGACAGGAATGCTCCAATTGGGTGTCTTTTTACCGTTGGTACCACGCTTTGGTAAGTCTTAAAAGGAAACCAAAAGGAATCCCAATATTTTAGTCGGCCCGCAAAAACAAACACAGTCATTTGGTGAAATTCATCCGGCGACATTTCCGGCGAGGCACGCGCACACCCATTCCGACTCACAACGGTAAGGAAAAACAACAAACATGAAAATCGTCTGTGAAAGCGCACAGTGCATGGGATGTTGAAAGTCTGACTTTAACATCTGAAGGGAGGCCACTGGCGGCCACTCTTCCAGACCGGCTCCTCTCTGTGGGAGTGTGAGCCAGCCCCGTGGTGCGGGAAGTCCACGGAGTCCCGGGGCTCGTCGCCGACAGCGTCGTGCGCGGCGTTGCCTGAGCCTCAGCAGCCCCAGGAGGAACCTCACCAGGAACCTCCACAGGCTCAGCAGGCTGCTCAAGCTCTTTCTCCTGTCAACGATCGCTTTCTTTGCACAGGTCTGCTCACTGGGCTTGGTGTCGTCCTGAAACTCTTACTCTCCCACCTTGAAGAACACCAGGCTTCAGAAGATGTATATGGACTCATGCATATATATATATATATGTATATCAGGTGTTCGTTCAGAAATTGACATGATTGCTGTAAAAATGAATGTGAAATGCACTTTTCAGCTTCTAAAAATAATGCTCCAAAAATGGCATTCGTTTTTAGACCTAAATTATAGCATCAGTACTTAGTGCAATCCGGGATGTGCTAGCACGTGCTAGCATATCCTGGGTTGAAGATTGAAGATTCTCTCGCAACTCTTTCTGGGATTCTTCAATCTTCAGTCCAGGATGCGCTAGCACGTGCTAGCACATTTCAGTTTGATCTAAGTATGGATTTGAAGATGTCCCGAAAAGTGGCTTGAGAATCTTCAAACTTCAATCTTCAATCCAGGATGTGCAAGCACATGCTAGCACATCTTGGATTGCCCTAAGTACATGATTGAAGAATTCCAGAAAGAGTAGTCAAAGAACCTTCAATCCTCAATCGTCAATCCAGGATGTGAAAGCAGATCCTGGATTGCCCAAGTATGGAATCTGAAAAGGCGGACAAGCAGAGCACGTTCCAAGAGTCAAATTGTGGGTGTGCACCGCCTGCATTTTGCCAATAGGGGAAGCATGTAGTTTGAAAACTTAATATACAGCTTTTGTGCGACGTGAGGGCTGGCCAGGATGGACAATTCTCAAAAAACCAAATCTGGAGATCTTCAACCTTCAATGCAGGAGGGAAAGCCTTAAAGAGTCTAGAAAAACTGTCAAGCTTGTTGGGGGCCAGGATTCAGGATGTTCTAAAACGATGTCCGTGGAATCTTGAATAGTTGGCCTTCGATCCAGGGCAGCATGATCTGGGTGAATGCTGAAAACACCGCGTTTTACAGCATGTTCTGCCAATAATGAGATCTATGTTTCTGAACACTTGTCTGTTATCGGTTTGGATCAGTTCTTGCTTGGTTAAAACCACATGGAGTTGGATAAGATGCTTTGCAAGCTTGACTTAAATACACTTGGTTAGAATGTAAATGGAATTATGTACAAAAAACTAACTAACATGTAAATGTAACTGCGCAAGGACATGAAGCACTTTGATGATGATTTGGATGTCAGTTGCAAGTAGGATTGAGCTCCTTTCCCCCAGGTGGATGATTCGCAGAGTTCCTTGTAAAACAGAAATAATAAAGGCAAACAGCTGTTGTGGCACGATGAAGCTGCCCAAGCATCCTTCGCGCACTACTCTTGTGCACTTCGCAGACTCCACCGTGACTTTATGCGCAACGCATTCGAGCTGTTTAACTAGGAGCTTCTTTTGAACGTTGAACTTAACTCTTGCTTGGTTTGATTTTGCATGGAGTTGCACGTCATGTCAGCTCAGTTTAGAGTTCCCCCAGTCTGGCAAAAACTTGATTTCAAGGGGGAGGGGGGGGGGTAGCACATATATATATATATATATATATGTAAATAACACTAGCAAAAACCCGAAAAAGGGTTCACCTGGAAATTGGCAATAAACCATAAGAAAGGGCACATGTTGATATTGACAAAAAGGAACAATCGAGATAAGCATGGAAATGTTGTTGACAGGTATTCTTATTGGGGTTGGTTTGAAGACCCAACCCAAAAGGACATGTTTTGAGCTCGATGATCGGCCTCTGCATCTCGCTGATGCGCTTGAGCACCTCGCGAACCCTCTCGGGGTCAGGCCGTCGAAGCAACAAGTAATCTTACATGTGCCATAGTCATGCTTCGCTCAATGGGGAATACTTGTTATGATTTTGAAGAATCCTCAGTAACCAGGTGGATTACGATCCCTGTGAACCCCGAGAAGTCTTTTGACCATGGCACACATGGGAGGCTCGGAAATTGTTGGGCCTTTGAAACGGCTGCTAAACCAACTTTCATGAGTGAATCTGGGAGAAGATGTGAAAGGGAGGGCCTTGGGCAACCAAATTACCACACCACTAAAAGGAAGCGCCCGTCCAAACAAAAAGGTGACTGTGTGGCAAAGACGTCACGAAGCTTCGCATTGAGCATAGCTAGCGTTGTATCAACCGAGAACGTTTGGGAAACCCTACAGCATAGCCTGCTGTGCTTGATGCACAGTACTGCTACAGACCAATAGAAAGCACCGGCTATTGTTGGCTTCCCTGCTTTGCCATCCTATGTCAACACTTCAAACGAAACCCGGTAGAGTACAACCCCAGAAACAAATACACCCTGAACGGCTAGAAACATAGTGCTCGAATCCAATAAGCTCCAAAGTTGATATTTCCATGAGCGAGGGGGCCCTGAGTCTGACAAAGTCTCCAAACCCATTCAGCCCCCCCCTCCCACACATTTTTGGGGAATGGTCCAAATCCTGTGTCATCCATCCATGAACATTCATTTCTGTCCAAAGGAGAGGGTGCCCTTGTCTTGGGAAGCCCAGAAGAAACCCATTTTGGGGGTCCGCATCCAGTCTGATCAATTCGGGTTTTCAAGCCGATTCCGGGCCTCGGTCAGGTCCACGTGCTCTGACTTCTGTGCCTGCAACTGAAAGCCCAAAGCATGCCCAGTGCATCTTAGGCGTTTCGGCCTTCTAGTAGGTAGGGTTCCTTGGTTGCCTACTATACAGGTTGGATCCACCGGGAGTTGTTGGGAATATCTTCCTTGCGCAAAGGGTGTGCGGCAAACTGCAACACAGCACGCCAACAAGTCACTCGCGCTCACTTGAGGACCAGTTCTTCGGGATAAAGCACTTCTTGGGATGATATATGTCCAGGTTTCGCGGTGGTGCTGGTTTGGGGTTGTTGACATGGGCAACTACACACTTTGTGCCGTGGTCGGAACGGTTTGGGGGCAGAGCTTTGGGTGCGGGGAATCCGGTTGGTCCGTGGGTAAATGATACGTAATCAAGCTGAAAAATGACGAAAATAAGTTGCAGGTCGCACACCCCCGAAGCACTCTGTAGGTGTCAGGCAGCAGGGATGAGAACGCGAATGCCTCTAAGCACTTCAGAAATGATCCAGAAGTAACAAGAAGAAGCTGCCAGTGTTCAACGGTGCCAAAGAACCACGCAGCCCCCAGCAACCAAAGCAGCACATTGATCAATACTTCAGTCAGACAAAATTCTATGTTTCTTACCTGTCTTGAAAGACACTACGGGTCAGCCGCGGATGGAATTAACAGGGTGTTTTGTGTGGCAGGCGTGGGACGGTCAATCATCACACCGTTTTGCAAACGTAAAGATACACGGGTCCAAAATTGAACGCGCACCACCCCGTAGGTCTCTTCCAGGATTCTACTGGGAAAGGCTTATGCTTGGCCTGCAAGAAGCGCAACTTTCATGTCAAAGGCTGGTGGATGGTGCGTTGCGAATGCCTGTCTGCGCCCATCGAATTCTTGCGAGTTTGCACACGCACACCTTCACAGCAAAACGATGAGCCAAACAAAATCATCAGGTACATCGTTAAGATCAACTCTGCCCCAAGTGGCACACAGTCCGAAAAACCGTGCGTTTCTAGCGTGACAGCCTGGAAACGACTTCCAGAACCAATGGGCGAGGTCAAATGTTGCACAGAAAGCACACACGAGTACAGGCCGGACTGTGCAAAGGTTGCCGCGGGGAGTGGGAGGGGGGATCAAGGCCTTCTTGAACGCATCTTTTGCCCATCCTAATGTTTCCAGGAATAGTTCCCTTGTCCTTGGAGACTTGCCAAAGGCCGTATATGAAAGAAACTCACAAATATCGTAGGTTACGCTTTGGAATGGCCAAAACACGGACCAAAAAGGAAAACAAAAGGTGGCCGATTTGCTTTGGGCGAATGAGCTTTGGAGTTTCGATCTGTCAAGTGTCTCCGGCCTTCACACCGCTCACGAGCTCTTTGGCTCGATCTTGATCACGGTCCTGACACGCCGCCCCATTGCCCAATGCGCCGGCTCTTGCGCCACGACTCTCCGGGACCAATTCAAAATACCTCCAAAAGGACATCCACACGGCGGTCTATATATATACATACCTAGAAACTCCCCGTTGGCGGAAATCTTCCCGTTTCCTCAAAGGCGGAAATTTCAGCCGTTGTTCGGAAAAAACGCCGGGGATGAGGGAAAACGCCCGAGCCAGGAAAAACGCCGTCGCCGCAACGCTACAGTTAGATGCCCACGACGCACTCAGCTCCCAATGGTGGCCAATGTTTCGGCAATTGTCCCAACTGACGCGCGCTTCAAAGGGCGACGCCACCAAACCATTTTCACCCAGCGCGTCTTGCCAGCGATTGTTTCCCTTGCCCGCCCGGATGTCTCAGTGCGTCTCGGGCGTTGGCAGACACCATGCAGATCCAGGGCAGGTTTGCAGTCAGCAACGTCTCAAACGCTGATCAAAGGGGGATGGACGCCCATTGTGTTTCGACCTGGGGTATTCCGCCCGTTTCCCCGGGAAATTCCGCCCGTTTTCTGGGGAATTCCGCCGGGGAATTCCGCCCGCGCTCCGGCCCTGAAAGCTCCGCACATTGGACAAGAACACGTTGCCAAGAGCGTCCGGCGTATTGTGAAGGCCTAAGAAGTGCTCGCCTGTGAATATTCTCTCCCTCCTGCACTTTCCAGGATCTCCAAACTTCCCCCATCCATGTGGGCAGCAAAGCAAGACATGGGTTTATCAGAAAGAAAGAGATGGAAGTCCAACAAGCCAACGGCAGGGAACGCCATAGAATCGCATTTCAAAGCGAAAGCAGTGCTCAGAAGTCCAAGCGAGTAGGGGCTAAGCGGTGCTTAAGGTACCTCATCGCGAACAAGCAAAACAACGCCGGCGCCAAGTCAAAAACGCCGTCACAAGGAAAAAGGCGCCTTTTCCCAAAATGGGCGGAAACTTCTGCCGGAAGGATCTTCTAGGTATATGTGTGTTTTGGGAGGGGGGCTTGCCATACATGTGTATATCTATAAATATATATACTGTATATAATACATGTCTCTAACAAACTCTACTCAAAGGACAATAGTGGGGTGTCCGAAAAGCACAAATCGGGGATCCCTTCATGGAGAGCTGATTGTCAACTTAACTCGCAAAGAAAGCGACAATAGGCTGAAGCACACGCCCTACGCGCTCACCGTTAAGCCTGGAAAGGGCGTATATTTTGCGACACAAAGATGAAAGATATCCAACCAATTTATCACATAGAAGACGTAGAAGGAGATTAGACAGGCCGCATCATTGAAGAAATGCATGTTGCACTGAGTAGCTCTTGAGCTTTTCTCATCCCAGGCCGCATTTCTTCTATATGTTTTCGGATTTTCGTACATTACACAGATTTCGGGTTCTTCTATCTGACTCATGTTGAGTAATCAAAGAAAACTTGCACCAAGTACCTCTGGAAGGGGTGACCTTGGCGCAACTTCCCCCTGGGGGCCGGCCCCCACAAGGTCACCAATCACAAAGAAGAAGCTATTTTCTCGCCCAGCGAATTTTCTCAGATCGTTTACAAGAAATTCCCAACGCCCAGACGAGAGGATGTGGCTTCAGCCAAATCCTTAAGGGACCTTGTAGTACTCCATGAGCAAAGCCTTGTGCTGACTCTTCAGTCCCTCATTGAAGGTCCGTCCAACATTACTCTGGCCTGGGAAAAGGTCAATCCACTGCCCCTGCCTGTTATAGCGCAGCCCTGTTATAGCACAGCCCTGCCAACGCACACAAACGAACAGCTGCCCCATCGTTCACAGACCAACTGGGCCATTTGCTCTGCCGCCCTCGGATCATATAGAAGACCTACTGAAGAAACTTCGCACAGAGTACCTCCCAAAACCTTTTTTCCAATGCGAACCTCAACCAGATGTTCTATATGATCCTTGCCGGGCCATGCAGAAATGATCAGATCATATAGATGAAAGTCAAGGGGCAATATCTATGTTTGCCTTACTTGGCCATTTTGAGCCCACACGGTTCCCAGGTGTGGAAACACCCCTCCGTGGCAAACATCGGAAGTTGGGGGCCCATGAAACTCAAGAAGTTCTCGGCGTCCCGTTTGGGACAGCCGTTGGAAAATGACACACTGGGCAGCGTTTTTTTCTTGCACATAGAAAGGAATTCAACATATGGATCATCTGAATGTCGAACATGCTAAAATAAAGAGAATAACTATCAGCAATTGAACATATACATGGAACGCGGCATGAACCTTCATGGGTGACAAAAATGTGCCAGGCCTGAATCGCAGCTTTGCAGCAGGGCCAGGGTCAATTTACTTGTGCCCCCAAAGGGGAAAGTTAGTGAGTCAGTTGGTGTTTGATGACTTCCCCATGTTTTTTTTTCCCCCAAATGAACCACAGACTACTGGACATTTCTCAAACCGAACCTCCGGTGATGCGACAGTTGAATTGCCCCGTCCTTGTCGTACTGCCTGCGCGTTGCTTGGTCACCTGCCAAGGGGAAGTGTTGAACTCGAAGGGGGGGTGGAAGATGATGAGAAACCGCAGCATGGTTACGTGTGTTTGAGGGTCCCCGTTTCAACTTGCTTAAAGGGCGAAGCATGGCGAAGCCGAAAGGAAATCCGCCAATCTTGACTGGCCAAGTACCCCTCGTGACACCAAAGTGGGCAATGCCTATAACCATGTGATCGCTTTAAAGGGGATCCCAACTATTGGTATCATTGAAAGCGGCGGCGAGGACTATGTCCCACCGGGAGCTACGGGCTGTAGAAGCCGTTCACAACCAGAGCTGAAAACAAGAGTCACCTGCTCGTGTAGCCAGTGATACATGTTTGCAGTCGTGCAGTTGGTGTTAGATTCTGATGAGAACACCACTGCCTGATGGTACGGTGGATGGCCTGCTCAAAAGAAAAATATTGCAAGAAAACCAACCACACTCGTCGGCAAACTAGAAGGGCATCCTTATTCCTGTTTGTATTATGTGGGGCCGCAGCGTGATTGTTGTAACCGCATTGGCCCAATGGCAGTCCGTTTGCTGCAATAATTGATTGAGAATAGTGACTGCTAAACAGACAACGCCCTCATTCCTACCTCATTGTCACCCTCTTCTCGTCCCCACTTCCTTTCCAGGAGACGGCAGCCTATTTCGGCTGTCTAGAGTCAGCTGTGCTTTGGTCCAATTTGCTTGCGGATCAGCTAAGGGGGCCATTGGGATGTCCAAGCACGCCACTCAACTGCAAAGAGTCACCCACTCAACTCTTCCAGAAATACATCACCCATTACTACTAACTACCTCCAGACTTTGCCCCGTTTGTCGATCGCTTCAGTCCCCAATTCACTTCTTCGGAAGATCATGTTAGCATGTCCAATCCATCCACTGTCAGTGGCCAACAACCCTAGCCATAAGAAGTAGACACAAAAGCAGAATAGGTCAAAAGGGTGGAAGCACATTGCGTTCTGTCTGGGTGAATTATAATATTTCACCAGCCTGAAATATGGTGGTTGGGTGGGCCATTCCCCACATCAACCACCATTTGGGTTTTTTCTTCGGTCGTGTGAGGTCGTTATAATTCTTCAAGTTTCTGTTGACCCCTACAGTTCTTACCCAACTTCTTGGTTTGACCTCCAACTATTACTAGGTCCTCCAGTAGAGAGGTTAGAATAAGGGTGCCCTTTTTTATGTAGTCTATTTTAGTAGGGAACCCCTCCCCCAAAAAAATGGTAAAAGGGCACTACTGGGGGACCTAGATTACAACCCCCGACTCTTTTGTTTCGCTCCAAACGCTGCGAATGGCGCTTTGCTGAGCCGTACAAAACTCCTCCCCACCCTTTTCGAACCGCGGAAAGAACATCCGGCCTAGGACCAGGTGTGCATTCTTCACCGAAATGAAGATGATCTCATAGTCCTGCCGAAAGGTCCTCTCCCCTGCAGATTCTCATGCAAGCCACGGACACTGTTGCTTACAGTTGGTGAACAATTGGGCCGGCCCCCTATTTTGGGTGGGGAGAAATCGTGCGTCCCCATGTCCTCTCGAACAACAGACTGCCAGAGGTTTCGTCCAGTGCTCTCAGCAGGCAAGGCGTCCATGTAGTGACTGGGCGTGATTCAGGCGCCCCCTTGCAAACTTGGCTCTAAATCAGTGTTGCAGCTTAACATGGGACCCACAAAGCAGCATCTCAACATGGGCCATCAAAACTGATATCCTGCTAAAAGCGAATATCTTGCGGGTTAAACGGAAACTGGAACAACAAAAACACACACACCGGCTTGGAACCACCAAGTTGAGGCTTTGGGCTCCATGCTACCATCACTCGCTGGTGAGCCCGGAACTTGTCTGAGAACTTGCCTCCAAACCAAAAACCAGACATGTTTGTTCGGAAGAAACCGCTTCCTCGCAGGAACGCAGGTGACAAGCCGTGCTGACAAATCAGTGTGCACCTCAGAACGTTACTCGAGTGCTCTTTGTACCTGCGTCTGGGAGAACTATTGCGATTCGACAATTCAGAGTGAGTATGAGGGTCCCTGTGTGAGGAGCCGTCTTCACAGGCACAGTCACTGACTTCCTTTTGTGAGCAACCCCTTGCAAACAGGGATGTTCAAGCCCTGTCTCTGGCATGGCCTCACGAAGTCATGCCAGTTGTCTGGGTGGGTCATGCCCAAAGCCATTAACTGACAGGTCTATCTGCCTGGACCTTCAAACGTACCTGAAATTTCTGCCTCCCCTGTCAATCGGCGGTTTTTTTCAATTCGTACCTTGTTTTCTTGGCTTGTCCTCGTTTTTGGACCTCGAGCAGGTTTTGGAGGCATGCGGGCTGTCAGGTCCTAACATGACCTACTCGAGCAGAAATGGTGTGCAAAAACGCCCGCAACGGCCCGCAAAACAAGCGCAAAAACCTGCAAACGAGCGCAACTTTGAAAAAGGAAAATATAAAAGGTATCAATGGAAGGTCGAGGTGGGTGTGGCTTTTTTGAGAGTATCGGTATTTTCGTGGCTTTGAAAAACCACCAATTTGCGCAATTTGGGGGTCCCGAAAAACAGACACACCCGACTGCAACTACCATGAAGCCAGGTTTTCGCAGTACAGCGCTTGAAAAGACCGGTGGTGGGTTTACGCTACAAGTTGTACCAGATCGGCGCTCCTGCTGCAGCTGAACCGACATGCCCTTGGTCTTGTCCGGGTGATAGACCTCTTTCGGTGGCACCGGGCCCCAAATGGCTTCGCCAATCAACGGCAGTCAAAAGGTGATGCTTCAGCACATGGGAAACACGACCCCTGCATTCTTCGTGAAAAAAGCGAAGAAGCGACCCATTTTCTGGGCCGATTGACACGGCCAAAAGGCAAAGTCTACCGGTTTGGCCTTCGGTCAGCGGAATTCCAAAAAACTTTACAACATCGCAACGTCCGATGCGGGTGTCAAGTTCACTGCGGAGCTTTTGACTAAAAAGCAATGTTCAGCCCTAGTTTGTCCCAGTCAGACACCTGGCTGGCAGGCTGTGTCAGAGCTTCGTTCCTGGAAATCCGCATGGCGCTGACAGCGCATCGGTGCGAAAGACTAATCTCAAGATTTGTCATCCTGTTCACAGCCTCGCAGCAGCAGTATGCTGCCACATGAACATGTTGTATTGCGTTGATCTAGAAGCACCACAAGCACAAGTCCTAAGCCGCAAGCAAGCCAAACACCGCGTCACATCAGCCAAAGCAATCACATCATGCTGCTGGCAAGCAGCATTCAAGAAGACTAATCGAAATCTGAACTTGCATCATGAGGCGCTTGCGTGCACAATCACGCACCCGCAAACACACAAACGCCTAAAGAACATTCACATGCTCATCACAGCCCTGCCTTTACCAGACACTTGTCGAGGTAATTAAACATCTCATACAAGCAACATCATACCGTCATGATGTGAGGTTTCTAGCTGCACAAGACCCATTAAGCCCTAGTTTGTCCCAGTCAGACACCATGATGCCCTGACTGGCTGGCAGGCTGTGTCAGAGCTTCGTTCCTGGAAATCCGCATGGCGCTGACAGCGCATCGGTGCGAAAGACTAATCTCAAGATTTGTCATCCTGTTCAAAGCCTCGCAGCAGCAGTATGCTGCCACATGAACATGTTGTATTGCGTTGATCTAGAAGCACCACAAGCACAAGTCCTAAGCCGCAAGCAAGCCAAACACCGCGTCACATCAGCCAAAGCAATCACATCATGCTGCTGGCAAGCAGCATTCAAGAAGACTAATCGAAATCTGAACTTGCATCATGAGGCGCTTGCGTGCACAATCACGCACCCGCAAACACACAAACGCCTAAAGAACATTCACATGCTAATCACAGCCCTGCCTTTACTAGACACTTGTCGAGGTAATTAAACATCTCATACAAGCAACATCATACCGTCATGATGTGATGTTTTTAGCTGCACAAGACCCATTAAGCCCTAGTTTGTCCCAGTCAGACACCTGGCTGGCAGGCTGTGTCAGAGCTTCGTTCCTGGATATCCGCATGGCGCTGACAGCGCATCGGTGCGAAAGACTAATCTCAAGATTTGTCATCCTGTTCACAGCCTCGCAGCAGCAGTATGCTGCCACATGAACATGTTGTATTGCGTTGATCTAGAAGCACCACAAGCACAAGTCCTAAGCCGCAAGCAAGCCAAACACCGCGTCACATCAGAAAAAACAATCACATCATGCTGCTGGCAAGCAGCATTCAAGAAGACTAATCGAAATCTGAACTTGCATCATGAGGCGCTTGCGTGCACAATCACGCACCCGCAAACACACAAATGCCTGAAGAACATTCACATGCTAATCACAGCCCTGCCTTTACTAGACACTTGTCGAGGTAATTAAACATCTCATACAAGCAACATCATACCGTCATGATGTGATGTTTTTAGCTGCACAAGACCCATTAAGCCCTAGTTTGTCCCAGCCAGACACCTGGCTGGCAGGCTGTGTCAGAGCTTCGTTCCTGGATATCCGCATGGCGCTGACAGCGCATCAGTGCGAAAGACTAATCTCAAGATTTGTCATCCTGTTCACAGCCTCGCAGCAGCAGTATGCTGCCACATGAACATGTTGTATTGCGTTGATCTAGAAGCACCACAAGCACAAGTCCTAAGCCGCAAGCAAGCCAAACACCGCGTCACATCAGAAAAAGCAATCACATCATGCTGCTGGCAAGCAGCATTCAAGAAGACTAATCGAAATCTGAACTTGCATCATGAGGCGCTTGCGTGCACAATCACGCACCCGCAAACACACAAACGCCTGAAGAACATTCACATGCTAATCACAGCCCTGCCTTTACTAGACACTTGTCGAGGTAATTAAACATCTCATACAAGCAACATCATACCGTCATGATGTGATGTTTTTAGCTGCACAAGACCCATTAAGCCCTAGTTTGTCCCAGCCAGACACCTGGCTGGCAGGCTGTGTCAGAGCTTCGTTCCTGGATATCCGCATGGCGCTGACAGCGCATCAGTGCGAAAGACTAATCTCAAGATTTGTCATCCTGTTCACAGCCTCGCAGCAGCAGTACGCTCACAACCACAAGTCCCAAGCCGCAAGCAAGCCAAACACCGCGTCACATCAGCCAAAGCAGTCACATCATGCTGCTCGCAAGAAGACTAATCGAAATCTGAACTTGCATCCTGAGGCGCTTGCGTGCACAATCACGCACCCGCAAACACACAAACACCTAAAGCACATTCACATGCTAATCACAGCCCTGCCTTTACTAGACACTTGCCGAGTAATTGAACATCTCATACAAGCAACATCATACCGTCATGATGTGATGTTTTTAGCTGCACAAGACCCATTAAGCCCTAGTTTGTCCCAGTCAGACACCATGACGCCCTCACTGGCTGGCAGGCTGTGTCAGAGCTTCGTTCCTGGATATCCGCATGGCGCTGACAGCACATCAGTGCGAAAGACTAATCTCAAGATTTGTCATCCTGTTCACAGCCTCGCAGCAGCAGTACGCTCACAAGCACAATTCCTAAGCCGCAAGCAAGCCAAACACCGCATCACCTCAGCCAAAGCAATCACTTCATGCTGCTCGCAAGAAGACTAATCGAAATCTGAACTTGCATCCTGAGGCGCTTGCGTGCACAATCACGCACCCGCAAACACACAAACACCTAAAGCACATTCACATGCTAACCACAGCCCTGCCTTTACTAGACACTTGCCGAGTAATTGAACATCTCATACAAGCAACATCATACCGTCATGATGTGATGTTTGTAGCTGCACAAGACCCATTAAGCCCTAGTTTGTCCCAGTCAGACACCATGACGCCCTCACTGGCTGGCAGGCTGTGTCAGAGCTTCGTTCCTGGATATCCGCATGGCGGTGACAGCACATCAGTGCGAAAGACTAATCTCAAGATTTGTCATCCTGTTCACAGCCTCGCAGCAGCAGTACGCTGACAACCACAAGTCCTAAGCCGCAAGCAAGCCAAACACCGCGTCACATCAGCCAAAGCAGTCACATCATGCTGCTCGCAAGCAGCGTTCAAGAAGACTAATCGAAATCTGAACTTGCATCCTGAGGCGCTTGCGTGCACAAGCACGCACACGCAAACACACAAACGCCTGAAGAACATTCACATGCTAACCACAGCCCTGCCTTTGCTAGACACTTGCCGAGTAATTGAACATCTCATACAAGCAACATCATACCGTCATGATGTGATGTTTGTAGCTGCACAAGACCCATTAAGCCCTAGTTTGTCCCAGTCAGACACCATGATGCCCTCACTGGCTGGCAGGCTGTGTCAGAGCTTCGTTCCTGGATATCCGCATGGCGCTGACAGCACATCAGTGCGAAAGACTAATCTCAAGATTTGTCATCCTGTTCACAGCCTCGCAGCAGCAGTACGCTCACAACCACAAGTCCCAAGCCGCAAGCAAGCCAAACACCGCGTCACATCAGCCAAAGCAGTCACATCATGCTGCTCGCAAGCAGCGTTCAAGAAGACTAATCGAAATCTGAACTTGCATCATGAGACGGCATGGAGATTTGCATCCACAAAGCATGCTTCAGGGCGTGCCCCATGAAGATCAAATCTATGGAGTGTCAACCAACCGCACTTTGACTACCATACAAGTCGTGGTAAAGCATGCTAAATCATGGCATCGCTTGTTCCCTCACTGGCTATACTCAATGCGGCGACCGGATTTTGCCCCATGGCATCTTAGCTGCAAGTGATTGCACAAATTGACCGATGCTACTTTGCCTCCGCGTTTTGGGGTAATCAAAACGGTTGCCCCAAACGTGTGCAGTGAGTGAGTCCGAAAACCCCCCCAATTTACCATTCACCATATTCACCATGGTTTTGTTTTGGCTTTGTCGTTTTGCAGTATGCTTTTCTCGTTTTGCTTTTGGTTGTTTTGTTCCTTCCCCTTTGTTGGATGACCTCGATTTCCGGTGTTTTGTTGAGTGCACCTCGATTCTTCCGATCGGATCGGGTCCCGCGAGTCCCGCGCCAAGGACAGGCGCTTGTAGGAGCGGTTCACCTCGTCCAGGGGAGCGTACTCCTCGATACCAAGGACCTGAAGCGCGGGCAAGAAAAAGCCGCCTGGCACCTGGAAAGAGATGCCCTAAACCCAGCGGAATACATGCATCGATATATATATATATATATGTTTATGTACATATCATACATATATATGTATGTATGTATGTATGTATGTATGTATGTATGTATGTATGTATGTATGTATGTATGTATGTATGTATGTATGTATGTATGTATGTATGTATGTATGTATGTATGTATGTATGTATGTATGCGTGTATATATGCAAGTAGTTATGTATATATATATATATGTATTTGTATGTATGTACGTACATATGTAGGTAGGTACATACGTATGTATGTATGTATGTATGTATGTATGTATGCATGCATGCATGCATGCATGCATGCATGTACACATATGTACATACATATGTATCTGCATACCTAGATATAATGTCATATATGTCATGTATACATGCATATACATATTTATAATATACACAATACAACTAGAAACCGGTTGTGGGCATGTACTAGAGGTGTCCTTTGCCCGAAACCGTCTCTGGTGGAACATGGCATCCCTCCGCGAACAGTTGTGATGTCCAGAATCGATCCCTTTTCTCCGGCGAAGACCGTTTCTTGATTGGCGAGAAGGCGCGCTTTGAACGAGTTCAAACAGGTTGTTCTTGAGCTAAGTTCCAAACAAGCTTGTGCTTCTTTCCCGTTGTTGGAAAAAGGTTGGCATGGCCCCGAATTAGCAGAATCCTACAGTTTGAAGCACGCCACTTCTTGTTTACAATCGGGTCCCGGCGAAACCGGTGCAATGGGGAGAAAGCAAGGCCCTAGTCATGCCCTATGTAGCAGTGCTTCCCCCTTTCACAACTTCTCCAAACCGAGGATTCACAAAACGCCGAGGCGTGAATACCAAGACAAGCAATGGTCGCCGGGCCACCTGGAACGGTTCTGCCTGATCAAAGGAGCTCCCAGAAACTTTCTGGGGACAGAGACTCAGCATATTCAGCTTTAAATATGGACCCTCTACATTCAGCTTCCTAGGCAACACTTCTAGGTTTTTTCGTCAACAAAACCGTCAACGAGGATGAAGCATTGTAAGCTGGTACCATTGCATTATAACCTAGGGTCCGACGGGCGCGAAACGCAACAAGCATTCCACAAATTGATTCGCCAACGCAACGACTGTAACCTTGTGTTTGCTACTTGGCCACGGGTCAAAATCCAAATCGTACCCCCAGTGAACATCCCAATCCAACCACTAAAATAGACTAAACTGGGTGGTGCACCTACCCGAAAATGGTACTATTGGTTTTGACCCACGGCCACTTAATTGGTCTAAACGTATAAAGCCCAGCACCTCTTGTATCGGACTTCACTGCCCCAGGGCCAGTAAAACCAAAAGTATGAGGAATTCCAGTCCAGGTAGTTAGCTCAAGATCGACAGATCAGAATGCCTTTGACGACCGATACATCGGACTGGGCAAACACGTGGGGTCCTTTTTAGGGATCGCCTCAAAATGGAGCACCAAGCAAACCAACTCCAAAAATGACATGCTAACACAAACACTGGTGCCACCAGACCTGATGCGTTGAATTGTTGACTTTGTCGGGATACAGGAGGACATGTAAAGCCATACTAAGTCATAATCATAGAAGCAGCTGGTTAGTAATTCCCTGGTGGATCTTGGCTCTCCATTGGTGAGTACACTTCTGTGCTGTGAACGAACAATGCACAAACATGAACTTGCATGGTATATTTGCTCTCAAGCTTAACAGTCTGGAACAAACCGCTGGCAGTTGGCACGGGGTAGTTCATTGGTAGAGAAGGCTTCTCGTGGAATTGCACTTTTGAGCAAGTGGTTTGCCCAACCCGTCCGAGCTGGGAATGCTAAAGCGCTCAGCTCGAGCCGAAACCCTAAGCCCAGTTTGTTCAGGGATCCTTCCAAGAAAATTGCCCTGGTAAATGGGACATAAACCAATCCTAAACCAGTGGAGCCCATCTATGTCTAACCAAACTATCTGATCAAAAGGACACCTAGTGCACCACCTAAGAAGCGCTGAAACGATATATGATTTTCCTGCAAAAAAAAACACAACCAGCGGTTTCAACTACGGTGTTTCCTTTCATAAATACCGACAAGCAGCGGTTTCAACCCTGGTTTCTAAAGGGGCGCGATCGCAACCACCGTATGAATCCGATCCGATCAGCTGTCCTCGTAGTAGTTCACCGCCCGGTCGTAGTCGAAGGCTTTGGACGCCGAGAAATCCGCCTGGCTTGGAGCTGTCTCATGGAGAGCCCCCAACAAAAAAAATGGTTCTTTTTTTGGGCTTAACAGGGAAACCACAATGAAAACCCACCCCCAACAAAAAAAATGGGTGTCTTTGTTGGGTTTAACAGGGAAACCACAATGAACACCTGGGTGTGGTTTTTTTGTCTGGGGGCCTTTCAATTGGTGGGTTTCCATGCTCAAACACTCGTTGTGAAACAAAACCCGCTTTGAAGGGGTGCCAGGTTTGGCTGGTTTAACCAGTTTTGCCCGACCCTGAAATCCGGCCTTTCTCTTTGATAGTTCCTCGAAAAAAGAAGAAAAGCAACACCGAAGAGGGGTACTCTCAACGAAATGCACCAAGCAATGTGATCCACTCAAATCACAGCAACTCGCTGCTGCGATAGGGAATCGTTTCGTTCGGGTATTGGGAATGAACCGTGTGTGATGCCTCACTTGGATGTTCTGCCAAGTTAGTAAGGCGTTAGCGACTAAAAAATGTGTCATAACCTAGGCTACCGACAACTTGCTAACTTGGCTTGGCCGAACATCCAAGTAGGGGATGGTCCAGGGGGTCATTCCTTCGTGAGCAAGATGAAGCCTTGGATTTGAGTGGACCTCGAACGCCAACGAGCGCCGAACACTCGTTGAGTTCGCAACCCATGGCGGCCCCCGGGCACATGCCTCTTCTGGAGTGAAGGACTGATCCAATGCAGCCCTCTTCTTGTCCTGAGTGCGGCGGATACTCTAAATGAGGCTTGCACGAAAAGAACAGGTCTCAATTTGGGACAGTGCCAATTCATTCTCCCTGTTCAAGCGCGGCCACCGCAGAACATCCACTGTTCGAACAGCCTTGACATACTGAGAACTCTGAGCTTTCGCAATACACTAGCAACGTGTGGTTGGATGTGGTTGCGCCACTCGCAAGTCGGAACTCAGCGCCAGCCTGGAAAAGGAAATCTTGTCCGAACTGTCAGATGCTTTGGCACCCCCATGACATCCGGTGGCGCTTTGACATGGGGTTCAACAAGGCATGTTGGCAGCCCCGGACCCACGCCCCTGGGGGCTGCAAGTAAAGTTCTCAGGGCTGGGGCTTCTGCCTCAAGCCAGAGTGGATCGGGCAAGACTTGAGCGCACCTCACTCATGTTGCAGTTGCAGCCTTTGTTTCCTGTCCGCTGGCCAAGGCAAATGTTAACACTTTGCTGCCGGCACGGGGACCCACCAATGAACAGGAAACCAGGGACCCGCGCACTGTGCAACTGGGCTTAGTGTCTGTGTGGTCAACAGCCAAGCTATTGCCTCAACTCAAACTGTTCACTTGCAGGTGGCCCCCTGCTCAAAAGGCGTCCCCTTTTGCAGGTTAGTGGGAAAATATGCAAGCTCCCAAAGAGCTAGTGGTTCAAGATGCGATCGAAATTCAATCGCATTCTAGTTCGGAAACTAGACCAAACCATGGCCTTCATGGAGGTGGCGTCAACATTCCTTGTCTGGGATGTATTCACTTGGTTTCGAAGAGAATCGGGAATCCACCGCAAATCAACATGTGAAAATCAACATCTGGCAGCCTCCCTCCCACGGTTAACTAACACAGCAATTGTAAAAAAGGGGTACCTGGAAGATCAATTTCCTCGAAAGATCATTTCCCTGTCTGGCAACGAAGGTTAGTGGTCCACTCCAAGCAGCACCTGCTGGGGGGAAGGCGTCGGCTTAAAGCCGCGCCTCCAACAAGGTGATTGGTTGCATAGCATCACTTGGCTTCTGGCCGAACCTTCAACTTCTCGAGGTGTGATTGTGGCTCTGTTGGATTGTTCTGATTCGGGGTACAACTTGTACTTGGGAAGCCTTTCGTGCCCCACTAAAGATATCGGCTTCGGAATGTGCTGGACATCGCTGGTGTGTACCCCTTTGTTTGTTGTTTTAATTGACAAACAACAGCAAAACGACCATATTGGGGTCCATTTTCTTAAAAGACACCTATCAGGCTATCACGTAAATCCGTTGTTTCCCAACTCTCTTAGTGGGTTAGCAAGGGGGCGGCACTGTGCAAAGGCTATCCTTGACCCTCACCATTTGCTCACAGTTGCCTCAGTCAAGGTTCTTCACCTCCTGCGTATGCATGTGTCTCAAAGATGGGGAACCCGATTGGATGGTTTTGAGTAGGTGTAATACAGGAAAGTATATGCTTGGAAGGGTGCCAGGTGATTGAAACCACAACTCCCACGTCTCCGTGGTCAACACTTATTTTTTCCTTTGCCGGGCCTGGTCATGGCGTCCATGGGCCCACAAACAGGTTCCCTAAAACTGGGTCCAGTAAAGTTGACATGGTTTGGTTTTCACAAATTGGATCACCCTAAATGGGTTCTACCAAAAAGGTTCTACGCTGAAAAAAATACATTTGGGTTTCCTTTCGGCGACCATTTAGCTTGCTGGCTCTCAGCGGGAATGATTAGGAACCCCAAACTGAGCCATTGGTGCTACCCCAAGAGGGCTGAAATCCAAGTGTTCCAAGCTTCTCTCCTTTAAAACCACCCCAAGAACGTTACCCTTCAACACAAACAACCCCTTTCGCCCGCGTTGCTTTGTCGCAAAGCAAAACAACATCGGTCGACTTCCTTGGATGCCCAGCGCGCTCTGCGCAGTACTCCTCGAGCAGCTGATCCACCTGCAACTGAGCCTGGCGACGAGTCCAGCGCGGACATGGGGAAATGATCCCTAGGTCCTCCAGTGGAGAGGTGCTCGAAGAAGGGCACCGACTTTTTTCTTGCTTGTCTATTTTAGGGGAACCGAATCTCCCAACCAAAAGAGTTTGCAAAAGGGCACTAGTGGGGGACCTAGATCCCCTACCGATAGAGGGGGGCTCACTTCCGGTCGAGTGTGGCTGGTGGAACAAAATGGTTAACTCTTGAATTACCACTATTGTCTTTCCAAAAAGTGACTCAAGTCCATGAACTCAAGGAGTGAGGGGAGGGGGGTGGGAGGTCCGGGACCCCATTCCATTTCTCTAGCCTTCCCAATAAAAAGGGAAAATCAAACCGGGAAATGAGTATATCAGTCTTTCTTAGGGAAAACCCTCCCTCCACCTAACATGGCACCTGACAGGGGAATAATATGTTCCAGGTATCCTCCCACAAATGCTGTGTTAGTGGGAGGATGTGTACTCCTTTTTGGTTTGGCTCAAAGGAAACCCGAAAGGAACACCACCGTTTTGGGGGGTTCCATGAAAAGGACCCCCCAGTTGTCTCTCTCAGTTCGGTTCTAAAAAACAAGAGAAAACAAAAGCTCAAAACAAGATAAAATCTGTGAAAAGGTAGCTTCCAGCCATTCTTTCCGGTCAGCCGCCAGAAGCCCGCTTGGGGCCGGTTGAAAAGAACAACGCAAAATAATAGGGAATCAACCCGCAAGATTCTAGACCAGTGGGAAACCCCCAGTTTAGTAGCTGGCTTACTATTTGGCTTCAGTCGAAATAGGCCTACGTGCGTTGGTCTCTACACATGGATTCTGGACCCTCCCCTACCGTAAATTGTTTCCCGTTGGTTTCCCAACAGGGCAACCCCAACAACAAGCCAGGCCCACATAATCCACCGCCCCGACATGTGGCAGCCCAACGTGCTAACGAAGGTCCCGACTCACGCCCATCTGGTCAGATCGACAGGTTAGGAGGGCCGGGTTCGGCAAACTGACTCAGGCAGCCAAACAGGGCAGAGGCGCCCCAAACCGCAAGCTAAATTCACTGACTCGACGTCTGATTCAGCCCACTCGAAAGGGCAATGGTCCTTCAGGGCGCACGAGCAACCCCCCCCCCCCCCACCCCCCCCCCCCCCCCACCCCCCCACCCCCCCCCCGTCTCGACGGTTCTCTGCGGGTTCTCAAACTCAGAAACTGGAATCGTCCTTTCCAGCTACGACTGAACGGGGGACTTTGACCATGGTGAAACAATGGGTTGCCAAACGGATTTTTGGGTTTGGGTTGACACTTCCGCCGATTTTTTCGGGAATCCTCCGACAAAAATAAGTGGGTGTCGCTGAACCCCACAGCTTAGCCGTCCGGGTTGGGCAGGCGTTCTCCCGCCTGGAAGGCCTTGCTTTGCTTCAGCTGACGCCTAGGTGCGTCAGGGCTCGCGCCGCTTCGGCCACTGGGAATTTTCCATCGGTGGAAGTGGCAGGGTATGCGGGCGGGAGACCCGCAGCTATATCGAAAAGCATGTGGTTTTGGGTCAAAATCCAAATCGTACCCCCAGTGAACGGGACAATCCAACCACTAAAATGCGTCACCTAAAATGGGTGGTGCTTTAACCTACCAACCAAAATGGGTGTTCATTGGTTTTGACAACAACAGCCATATTGATGATGCTGATGATGGTCCACTAGCCTCGGACACCGGTTGAGGCATGACGAAGCGGCTTCCGAACGTTGCCAGCAACCTGGTTTGAAACGAGCGACATCTGAGGTCGAGCGAAAGGGGAGGCGCACGGGAAGGGGTGCTGCGGATGCGTTGCCACGATGATAGTTATCATCACCATTGGGGATGCAGAGGATGCTACGATGATAGTTATCATCATCATCATCATCATCATCATCATCATCATCATCATCATCATGCGTGGACATGATTAGTGATGCTGATACGTAGTCGTCACCATGTCTTTGTATAGTATACATTTCAAGTGTGGCGTTGGAGCCCATTGGTGATGCAAAAGATGCGTGGACATGATTATCATGATGATGAGATTGGAGATGCAGAGGGTGCGTAGTCATCGTTATCATCATGACTGTTGGTGATGCAGAGGATGCACGATGATGGTTATCATCGATGATGATGCAGAGGGTGCGTAGTCATCATTATCATCATGATTGTTGGTGATGCAGAGGATGCATAATGATGGTTATCATCGATGATGATAACCGTGATGATGACGATGATGGGCCACGGCTATGATGAGGATCCTTATCTTTTTCATGTACGATTCAAAAGTCCCGTTAGAGCCGATTGGAGATGCAGAGGGTGCGTAGTCATCATTATCATCATGTTGTGATGCAGAGGATGCATAATGATGGTTATCATCGATGATGATAACCGTGATGATGACGATGATGGGCCACGGCTATGATGAGGATCCTTATCTTTTTCATATACGATTCAAAAGTCCCGTTAGAGCCGATTGGAGATGCAGAGGGTGCGTAGTCATCATTATCATCATGACTGTTGGTGATGCAGAGGATGCATAATGATGATGATAACGTGATGATGACGATGATGGGCCACGGCTATGATGAGGATCCTTATCTTTTTCATATACGATTCAAAAGTCCCGTTAGAGCCGATTGGAGATGCAGAGGGTGCGTAGTCATCATTATCATCATGACTGTTGGTGATGCAGAGGATGCATAATGATGGTTATCATCGATGATGATAACCGTGATGATGACGATGATGGGCCACGGCTATGATGAGGATCCTTATCTTTTTCATATACGATTCAAAAGTCCCGTTAGAGCCGATTGGAGATGCAGAGGGTGCGTAGTCATCATTAATCATGACTGTTGGTGATGCAAAGGATGCATAATGATGGTTATCATCGATGATTGATGATGACGATGATGGGGCACGGCTATGATGAGGATCCTTGTCTTTTTCATATACGATTCAAAAGTCCCGTTAGAGCCGATTGGAGATGCAGAGGGTGCGTAGTCATCATTGTCATCATGACTGTTGGTGATGCAGAGGATGCATAATGATGGTTATCATCGATGATGACAACCGTGATAATGACGATGATGGGCCAGAACTATGATGAGGATCCTTATTTTTTTCATGTACGATTCAAAAGTCCCGTTAGAGCCGATTGGAGATGCAGAGCGTGCGTAGTCATCATTATCATCATGACTGTTGGTGATGCAGAGGATGCATAATGATGGTTATCATCGATGATGATAACCGTGATGATGACGATGATCAAAAGTCCCGTTAGAGCCGATTGGAGATGCATAGGGTGCGTAGTCATCATTATCATCATGACTGTTGGTGATGCAGAGGATGCATAATGATGGTTATCATCGATGATGATAACCGTGATGATGACGACGGCTATGATGAATCCTTATCTTTTTCATATACGATTCAAAAGTCCCGTTAGAGCCGATTGGAGATGCAGAGGGTGCGTAGTCATCATTATCATCATGACTGTTGGTGATGCAGAGGATGCATAATGATGGTTATCATCGATGATGATAACCGTGATGATGACGATGATGGGCCACGACTATGATGAGGATCCTTGTCTTTTTCATGTACGATTCAAAAGTCCCAGAGGGTGCGTAGTCATCATTATCATCATGACTGTTGGTGATGCAGAGGATGCATAATGATGGTCATGGATGATGATAACCGTGATGATGACGATGATGGGCCAGGATCCTTATCTTTTTCATATATACGATTCAAAAGTCCCGTTAGAGCCGATTGGAGATGCAGAGGGTGCGTAGTCATCATTATCATCATGACTGTTGGTGATGCAGAGGATGCATAATGATGGTGATCATCGATGATGATAACCGTGATGATGACGATGATGGGCCACGGCTATGATGAGGATCCTTAATCTTTTTCATACACGATTCAAAAGTCCCGTTAGAGCGATTGGAGATGCAGAGGGTGCGAGTCATCATTATCATCATGACTGTTGGTGATGCAGAGGATGCATAATGATGGTGATCATCGATGATGATAACCGTGATGATGACGATGATGGGCCACGGCTATGATGAATCCTTATCTTTTTCATATACGACAGCCGATTGGAGATGCAGAGGGTGCGTAGTCATCATTATCATCATGACTGTTGGTGATGCAGAGGATGCATAATGATGGTTATCATCGATGATGATAACCGTGATGATGACGATGATGGGCCACGGCTATGATGAGGATCCTTATCTTTTTCATATACGATTCAAAAGTCCCGTTAGAGCCGATTGGAGATGCAGAGGGTGCGTAGTCATCATTATCATCATGACTGTTGGTGATGCAGTCCAACTGAAGGGGTCGGCGGCGCTGGGCGGCAGCCCTTAAATCCGGCCACCGGACGTGATCGGGCCGCAGGCCAAGCCCCGTTAGGGCTTACCTTCAGGTATAAGGCCGCGCGCCCCATGCCGCCGACCATGCGCGGACCATGCTCCGACCATGCGGGTACGTTTTGGGCTGGGCCCTCCCTTATAAGGGGCGAAGGATTTGCGGATTTGTTTAAGCGATTTTTGAGGAGTTTTGTAGCATCTCCCCGCAGAGTCACAAAACGAGCGCTTCTTGGGGGGTGCCTAATACTGGACAACACCCCCAGCATTGCCAGCATCATTCCGGATGATGCAGATGATGCTATGCATGCTGGCGATGCGAAACAAGGGGTTGAGGGGAAATGCAAGGAAGCAGGAGTGACTGGAAGTGAACAAAATGAAAGTCAAAGGAATGGCACGAAAAATGGGGAGGGCACTGGAGAGAAACCGAGATGCAGGAAAATGCAAGGGCAGAACGTGAAGGGGACCGGACAGAATGCGAATAAAGGAGTCTTCAAGGAAATGAAGGGAGCTGAAACGGCAGTGAAGTGGAAGTGAAGGGACATGCCAGGAAACTGTCAGGGAAGACATGCAAAGGAAAAGTTCATTCAAATCATCCCGAAAACTAGCAGGACTTGGAGGGAAAGGAAATCAAAGAACGGGAAGGGGTGCCCGGTGGCCGGCTGTGTCGCGTCAGCGTGTAAATCCGGCCACCGGGGGCTTCAGACTCCGTGGTCCGTGATACGGCCGAAGGCCTAGGCCCGGAGGGCCTACCTTCAGGTACAGGGCCGGCCGCCCTGTGCCGCCGACCACCGCCAACCATGCGCTATACTTTTGCGCTGCGCCAAGCTGGGCCCACCCTTATAAGGGGCGAAGGATTTGCGGATTTGTTCAGGCGATTTTTGGCGGCATTTTGAGCATCTCCCCGCGGAGTCAAAAACGAGTGTTTTTTGGGGGGTGCCCATAGTGGACAACATCCCCGGCATCACCTGCACCATCCGCATCCTTGGCACATTGATGCGGATGATGCCGGTGATGCGGGGGATGCTGGGGGTGTTGTCCCCGAAGTCGGACCAACTTTGCCGAAAACGTGCAACCTGAAAATCTTAAAATCTTAAAGTGGCTGGAAATGGATGGAAAATGGCCTGGATTGAAATCTCAAATTCCTAAGTCTTAGATTCTTAAAATCTTAAATTAAAATCTAACAATCAATCTTAGAATCTCGAGATCTTAAAATCTTTGAACTTAGAATCTTAAAATCTGAAAATATAAAAACATCCTAAAGTCTCGGGGGATGCTGGGGATGTTGTCCCCTAAGTCGGGCCAACTTTGCCGAAAACGTGCAACCTGAAAATCTTAAAATCTTAAAGTGGATGGAAAATGGATGGAAAATGGCCTGGATTGAAATCTCAAAATCCTAAAGCTTAAAATCTGAAAATATAAAAACATCCTAAAGTCTCGGGGGATGCTGGGGATGTTGTCCCCTAACACCGGACGTGATCGGGCCGCAGGCCAAAGCCCGTTAGGGCTTACCTTCAGGTATAAGGCCGCGCGCCCCATGCCGCCGACCATGCGCGGACCATGCGCATACGTTTTGTGCTGGGCCCTCCCTTATAAGGGGCGAAGGATTCGCGGATTGGTTTAGGCGATTTTTGTAGCATCTCCCCGCAGCGCCCAAAAACGAACATTTTTAGGGGGTGCCTAATACTGGACAACACCCCCAGCATTGCCAGCATCATCCCGGATGATGCGGATGATGTTATGCATGCCGGCGATGCGGGGGATGTGGGGATGTTGTCCCCTAAGTCGGGCCAATTTTGCCGAAAACGTGCAACCTGAAAATCTTAAAATCTGAGGTGGATGGAAATGGATGGAAAATGGCCTGGATTGAAATCTCAAAATCCTAAAGTCTTAGATTCTTAAAATCTTAAATTAATATCTAACAATCAATCTTAGAATCTCAAGATCTTTTAAAATCTTAGAACTTAGAATCTTAAAATCTAAAAATATAAAACTTCCTAAAGTCTTCGAATCTTGAAATCTTAAAATCCTTATGTCTTAGAATCTTGAGCTTAAACTCTTAAAATATGAAATCTTAGAACCTTAATTCTTAAACCATTGAAACCTTAAATTCCGAAACTCTTCAAATCTGAGACCCTTAGAATCTCAAAGTTTTTAGAACTTTAAAATCTTAACATCTACTCATCGGACTTACAGGAAAGGGAAGTGACAGAAACCCTCATGTCTTTGAATCTTCAGATGTTAAAATCTTAAAATATGAAATTCCTAAATTCTCAAAGTCTGAAAATCTCAGAATCTTAAAAGCTTCAAAAACTTAAATTCTTTAAATCTCGAACTATTGCAGTCTGAAAATCTCAAATTCATAAACAAGTAAAATATAATAAAATTCCTTCAATACGGGCTATTTTCTTCTAAATTCCTTAAACTCTTAATCTTCAACTTTTGAAGTCTTGACATCTTAAGATCTTAAATCATAAATTCCGAAAGTCGCCAAATCTGAAAATCTCCGAAAAATAAAATCTTAAAGCCTTCGAAATCTGATAATAGATGGAAAATGGCTGGGCAATGGCCTGGCTGTTATAACCTTCAAAAACTTTAAATCTTTGAATCTTAAAACCTTAATTCTTAAACCATTGAAACCTTAAATTCCGACAGTCTTCAAATCTGAGACCCTTAGAATCTCAAAGTTTTTAGAATTTTGAAATCTTAACATCTACTCATCGGACTTACAGGAAAGGGAAGTGACAGAACGAGCAGGGCAAGGTGCCCGGTGGCCGGCTGTGTCGCGTCAGCGTGTAAATCCGGCCACCGGGGGCTTCAGACCCCGTGGTCCGTGATACGGCCGAAGGCCTAGGCCCGGAGGGCCTACCTTCAGGTATAGGGCCGGCCGCCCTGTGCCGCCGACCACCGCCGACCATGCGCTATACTTTTGCGCTGCGCCAAGCTGGGCCCACCCTTATAAGGGGCGAAGGATTTGCGGATTTGTTCAGGCGATTTTTGGCGGCTTTTTGAGCATCTCCCCGCGGAGTCAAAAAACGAGTGTTTTTTGGGGGGTGCCCATAGTGGACAACATCCCCGGCATCACCTGCACCATCCGCATCCTTGGCGGACATTGATGCGGATGATGCCGGTGATGCGGGGGATGCTGGGGATGTTGTCCCCGAAGTCGGACCAACTTTGCCGAAAACGTGCAACCTGAAAATCTTAAAATCTTAAAGTGGCTGGAAAATGGATGGAAAATGGCCTGGATTGAAATCTCAAAATCCTAAAGTCTTAGATTCTTAAAATCTTAAATTAAAATCTAACAATCAATCTTAGAATCTCGAGATCTTAAAATCTTTGAACTTAGAATCTTAAAATCTGAAAATATAAAAACATCCTAAAGTCTCGGGGGATGCTGGGGATGTTGTCCCCTAAGTTGGGCCAACTTTGCCGAAAACGTGCAACCTGAAAATCTTAAAATCTTAAAGTGGATGGAAAATGGATGGAAAATGGCCTGGATTGAAATCTCAAAATCCTAAAGCTTAAAATCTGAAAATATAAAAACATCCTAAAGTCTCGGGGGATGCTGGGGATGTTGTCCCCTAAGTCGGGCCAACTTTGCCGAAAACGTGCAACCTGAAAATCTTAAAATCTTAAAGTGGATGGAAAATGGATGGAAAATGGCCTGGATTGAAATCTCAAAATCCTAAAGTCTTAGATTCTTAAAATCTTAAATTAAAATCTAACAATCAATCTTAGAATCTCGAGATCTTAAAATCTTCGAACTTAGAATCTTAAAATCTGAAAATATAAAGACATCCTAAAGTCTTCGAATCTTGAAATCTTAAAACCCTTATGTCTTAGAATCTTGCGATCTTAAACTCTTAAAATATGAAATTCCTACAGTCTTAAACTCTTACTCTTGAAATTTGGAAATCTTGAAACCTCAAGATCTTAAACTTACAACCTTAGAAGATCGAATCTTACAATCTGAAAATATAAACATCCTAAAGTCTTCGAATCTTGACTTCTTAAAACCCGAATATCTTTGAATCTTCAGATGTTAAAATCTAAAAATATGAACTTCCTAAATTCTCAAAGTCTTAAAATCTCAGAATCTGAAAAGCTTTCAAAACTTAAATTCTTTAAATCTCGAACTATTGCAATCTGAAAATCTTAACTTCATAAACAAGTAAAATATAATAAGATTCCTTCAATCCGGGCTATATTTTAAATTCCTTAAACTCTTAATCTTGAAACTTTGAAGCCTTGAAATCTTGAGATCTTAAAATCTTAAATTCCGAAAGTCGCCAAATCTGAAAATCTCCGAAAAATAATATCTTAAAGCCTTCGACATCTGATAATAGATGGAAAATGGCTGGGCAATGGCCTGGCTGTTATAACCTTCAAAAACTTTAAATCTTTGAATCTTAAAACCTTAATTCTTAAACCATTGAAACCTCAAATTCCGACAGTCTTCAAATCTGAGACCCTTAGAATCTCAAAGTTTTTAGAATCTGAAAATCTTAACATCTACTAATCGGACTTACAGGAAAGGGAAGTGACAGAACGAGCAGGGCAAGGTGCCCGGTGGCCGGCTGTGTCGCGTCAGCGTGTAAATTAGTATTTAGACCATCTAGGTCCTCCAGTAGAGAGGTTAGAATAAGGGTGCCCTTTTTTAGGTAGTTTATTTTAGCAGGGACACCCTCCCCAAAAAAGGGTAACAGGGCACTACTGGGGGACCTAGCCATGATGGGCCCCCAATTGCAACGATGTTCTGTTGGTTTTCCTCAACAAAAGCCAACTTGACAACGTGCGAGCAAGGAACCACACCCAACTCCGGCGGGCTTTGTACGTCCAATTTGCCAACCAAAAACCAGCACCTTCAAGTATGGTCCATTTCTCAGTTGTTCAGTGACCCTGGAAAAAAAGGGAACCTTTTTTGGGAGCCACTGAACAACGGAGATTTTAAGTCACTCGAACATGTAAATTCCTACCAAAGACATCCCAGTCGCGCAACAAAGATATTTACCCCGAACCTGCGGTTCTAAAACATCTCGAGAGATGCCAGTGTTGGTAAAGGGGGCTTGCCCCCCAAGAAAGAAATCACCGATCTGAGCGGGCCTTTGGCAAGACGTGGCCAAACCAGCTTGTCAGCACGCTTAAACACCTGTTGCTAAGCAACCTCAGGCTAGTTTCCCTTCAAAGGTGGCAGGAGTCTGGTTCAAACATTGTTTGCCCCACTCCTCTGCTTGAAGCTTCCAAGCAGTGTTAACCGCATAGCCAAACATCCATTTGCTCAAGTTTCTGGAAACTGGAAACAGTTAGGATATATTTCCAAAAGTGATAGATTCCATATAAAACCAACAAGGGTTCTAAAATGGAACAAATTCCTTTCAGCTTAAATGGAAGCAACTACAAAATTTATGCCCTGTTTAGTACGTTGGTCGAGTGCCCAGCTGTTGCTCCTCCGTCAACTTCTGGCCGCTGCCCGCGCGGTCCCCCAGCCGTGCCACTGACTCCTGACCGACTCGCCTCAAACCATGATGTTGACCCCATACAGTGGCTGGACAAAATCCTGCACCACTTTGCAACCAAGGGAAACAATTGTTTGTTGGCATTTCCAGGGGAATCATCATTCCAGGGTTTCTTAGGTGGTGCGAAATGGATTTCGTCCACCCCAGTTCATCAATACCCAACCAAACCCAGGGACACCCGCATATTAATAGACTGGGGGTTTACTAACATGGGGTCAACATGATTCAGTTTCCGTTGAAGGGCATCCCCCCGACCATAAGGGGGGTGTGGGTCCCTCAATTCCACTCGTCATTATAGGGAGAATGGAAGTATAAGGTGGCCGTTGGAGGCTTGTCCCCACCTGTTTCTGTTGTCGGAGGAACCCGCCAACTCGAGTTCAACAGCCCTTGGGTCCTGGTGACTTTCCTCTTTCCCGAGTTTCCTTGTAGCAAGGGCAGTGCCAGGAACAGAAGCCTAACGTCCAAACACCCTAGGTCTCACTTCCAGAGTGGAGTGTCCAAAACATGTCAAAACTGGTTGTCTGCCACCAAAGGCTGCAAACATAGACGCCAGCTGCTCAGGCCGTGATCTGCCTGGCAGATCACGGCAACAATGGCACGAACATAAGGCGCTACGGTCCAAATCATGCTTACTGAGATTCGCGGAAGCGATCCTCGCATAAGTAGATTGCAAACAAAAAGAGTCCAAACTTGTTGTTTACCACTAAAATTTGCTTCCCAAAAAACTGGAGCTCAGGGAGTGAGGATTGATAATTGAACTCAGCAGGTTTCCCCCAAAGATCCAACAAGATCCAGCCTTTTGCAGGTTCAATGGAATTCAGACTGATTCCAAAAGAACTGTGGTAATGGGTTATTCATTTCTACCAAACCATGTCAACAGCAAACTGTTGTCGAGGATTAGGCTATTGCATTACCCCCCAGGCAAGAGGTGCCATTGTCTGCTGGTTACCAGCACAGCACTCAAATTCGCAACAAGCTAGATTTCCTCTAAGGGAAACTCGAGGTTCATTCCCAACACTCTGGGTCGTTCACATTCATTCACTACCTATCGCACCACCTGAGCGCAACGCGCCCGCGCCTGAGAAAAGCTGAAGTTGTCATCAAAGGCTGCCAGCGCCATCGCGCGTCGGCAACAATAATTTCTTAAGCGACCGGAGAGCTTCTGTGGCGTAACCAAAATGGTGCCTTGTTTGTCTGCGGGCCTTTCTGGGCAAGTGACAGCATTTTTGCAACCTGAAAGCACTTCCTAGGTCCTCCTGTAACGAGGCTAGAATAAGGGTACCCTTTTTTCCCCCAAAAAAGTTGGTAAAAGGGCACCTAGATGGGGGACCTAGACTTCCTAGGTCAGAAAAGCTTCATCATGGGTGAGCTTACCTCAGGCAGCCCTGAAACAAGGACTTCCTAGGCAAGACACCTTCAGAAAGCTGAGCTCAGGTCCGTGTGCTCGGCCCAACCTATCCGAGTTGGAGGAACAAATTTAGCTGGAGAATCTGGAACTGGACTAAGGAAAAGTCTGAACTGTTGATTTACCACTCAAGCGGTCTTTCCACTAAAGTTTTTCAAGTCCATCAACTCAAGGCGAGAGTCTTTAGTTTGGGTGGCATGCCATTTTAAGGAAAACTAACAGCACGGCTGCGTGCGTACGACACAGCCGTCCAAAGGGACCTCTGCGATTGACTCACATACCCGACTCATAAAATTCAGAACTAGGGTTGCGCATGTCGGTCTCCTCTGGGCCTGAAAGCGGCCAGCGCGCGTGTGCGCAAACCGCTGAGCTGACGAGGGCAACACGTAGGGAAAAGCTCTGAAGGGAACAAGCAAAGTTGGGGGAGCAACCATCTGCAGAAACTGGATCACACTTCACCAAAAGTTGGGCTCTGAGAAAGGATCCACAAAGTCGTGAGCGTGTTTTATCTCGAAATGCTAAGCCCACGTCTCTCGAGAATCTTGACGTTCCATTGGTGGACCCAATGCAAAACACTCCGTTGTTTGCTTCAGGTCGTTGCATCCAGTTCCAGCAACCCAGTGGATTGCGCATGCCCACAGGTCCTTCAAAAGCGCCGCAACTTCTCTGGACAAATCGAAGCGAAGCATCCGATTCCGTGGGACCCGGCGTGTATTTGTTTGAGGGTACCTTTTGGGTTTGACCGGACTTTGGCAGTTCGCTATAGAAAAAGTCAGACACCCAAGTTGAAGATTTCGCGTAGGGGATTCGAAGTGGCCCGTTCTGATGCCCCTTTCCATTGTGGTGTTACTAGTCTCTCCCTACAACCACAAGCATACTCACAAACTCGGCCGAAGCCAAGCGGAAGCCATGTTTTAAACTCCTTGGCAGCAAATGCTGAGACACGGGGAAAGAACCACAAGGGGGTTGCCATGGACACCTAGAGTTTTTCTTGCAACCATACCCCCCAAAAAATATCCTAAAAGAAGGAGGTTGCAAAAATAGATCCTAAGTGTCCACCATACGGGGGGGGGGGGGCAAGACAAGAATGAACCCTGCCAACACCATCACAGCCCCATTGGGCGGCAAAGGCAGGTGCACCAATCCATCAGGCCATCACTTTGTCACGCGGCACCCACCCACAAGGACATGCGATTAAAGCCATGGACGATATCGAGTCCAAAGCCACTTCAAACTTGCCAGATACAAACTAGTTGAAACCACAAAGCGCTATTGAATTCTTCAGTTGCAGCCGAGAGGATGTGTTTTCTCAGGAGTCTCAGGAAGGCATCGATCCAACGCTTCGGCAAACCAGGACTATGGATGTGCCTTTTCACCTGTTCAGTTTGGTTGAAAAGGGACACTAATAAAGAGACACAAACATTTGTGGCTACCCAGAACCATGTAAAGAACGTAAAAGGCGGGTGATCCGCACCCATTTATGGCTGGCAGTGTACCTTACCCTCTTACCCGGGTTTTGTGACAAACTTTTGAGACATACTCTTCAAGTCTTCCAAATCCATGGAATCGCCTGGAAAAGGGTGACGCGATTCCAAAAAAATGAAACCAAGCCTCAGCCCAGATGCGCTCCCGCCCAGGATGGACCGTGCAGCATCCGCCTGGGAAGAGATGTTCGGGTGCCAAATCTTGGTGTCGAACTTCATCTTCGGAGGGTTGTACCTGCAACAAAGCGATAGACATTCGCAAAAAAGAGGGAGGGGAGGGTTTGGAAAAGTTTTTTTTGATTTTGGGGTAGCCTCTTAAAGGTTGGTTGAAAGGATAAAGGGAGATGAGACGGAAAGCCACAGTCCGGTTTGACACATATCCACCTAGGCGACAGGTCTGCAATCGCTGGTGGGGGGGGGGGGGCATGGGGTGATTTGGTCTTCCAGTCCCATGTCTCCAGCGCACGATTGCGTGGGCATGAGCGACAAGCCCATGTCGCGGTGCCACAACAACGCAAGCCAGTTCAGCCACAATCCCGAAGGAAGACGATTGACTTGCATCTCTACATTGCGTGGTGAAGGGGCGGATCTTTGTCGGGACAGCTGCGGCATACGAAGGGGCCACGGGAGCCAATCCCTACTTCAAGGAGCATCGTACTTGGCAAGTGGGTAATAACCCTGGATATAACCCACTTGCCATGGCTATAAGTCTCCTAAGTGGGCTATATCTATCCAGGCTTTCTAACCACTTACTAAGCACCCTGCCCGTGTAAGTACAGGGTAGCCTTGATACCCTAAGATTCCTGATAGAGTTTGGGGCCGAAAAACCCAGTCCTCTTTGTCACTCTCCGGAAACAACTCGGGGTGTGGTACGTGGAACGGGTCCCGTGCATGCCAAGCATTCCATGTTCTCCCTTGGTTTCTATCCACCCAGAGGCTCCTAAGCCTTTCAATGGAAGACCCGACCCCTCCATTAGACACCCCGGAGGTGGTTGGGGGGGGGGTCTCGAAACCAGGTTGTTTGAAGGCCCTACATCAATCGGGAGCCATTGGACACCCCGGAGCTGGTTGGGGGTCTCAAAACCAGGTTGTTTGAAGGCCCTACATCAATCGGGAGCCTCTTTTGGGCATGCACAACCTGTACGCCAGGACATCGAGGGCACGGATATTCTGCTGGGATCTCGATGTCAATGTCGAAGAGTCCACCGGAGTACCTGAAAGCGCCCGCAGAGCCGCGTTTTACTCACTGACAGCGGGGCTTCCGGCCTAATGGGTTTGGTTCCTTTCTTGGGGGTTGGTACCAACCTGTTTGTCGGAACGAAACCAAACGAAAAACCAAAGACATTTTGGAGGCCCAACCTGCAAAAAGACACATTGGGCGCATGTATTGCTTCAATGGATGTTCCTATGGTGTTCTTTTGATTTCTCCGAAAGCACAAGCTCAAAAAGGAGTCCTGATTTAAGACCCCTCCCTGCCTGCCAGTTTCCTGGGGCCAAGGGATAGTTGCTGCAGCCAACCACGGGGTTCAACCCTTCGCGTCTCTGTTTTGAGGCTGTGCTTGACTTGCGCTCCTTAGCTTTGGCATGAGGGCTCCCGAATTAAACGACTTGGACTCCTCATGCTTGGCATCCGGATAAACGGGCTCCGTAGAAGCCCTCTTTCAACAGCGCGGCGAAAGGAAAGCTCATGCTCACCAAGGCCAAGCGAATCCAAGTGATATTTAAAGCTTCAAATCACAGCAGCAGGGAGAACCGCCCCTCAACAGGGCAGTTTTTTGACTAACCCAAGGTAACCTTAACACCCCAAAAAAGGAGAGCCCAGGAGTTTAAACCGTCTCCCTTGGGGCAATCAACAGGGAAGCAAAGGGACCACACACCGATCGTCTACCCTTCCCGGGCATCTTTTGGGACCGACTCCGAGCATGCCAGTTTATTTTCATCAGGGCTCGACCCAGACCTGTGTCAAGGGCACCATTTGGGCGTTTCCTTTTGAAACTCGGTGCCCTTTCTTCAGGTGGGTTTCAAGGGAAACCCAAAGGAAAACCACGAGTTTGGGGGTACCCCTGTGGATGGACGAAATCCGTTCGCACCACTTTGAAACCACTGTCGGTTGGTATGTATGTTGGGGAATCGAATCCTTCCAGGGCTTCTGACCGGTGCGAAATTGCTTTTGTCCGTCCACTGTATTTTACCACGCAAAAGAACCCAAAGAAAAACCGCCGTGTTGGGGGGTATCCCTACTTTGCTGTACTTGTGTGTAAAGGTGGCAACTGGATTTGTAAGCGCCTCTCGGGCGCACGGTGTGCCTTCGGGGCCCTTCAGCCACGCCTTCCAGTGAGTCAGGTCGTTCTCCACCTGGTGCAACGGCTGGGTGCGTTTGCTTGGCACTGTATGTATGTATATGTATGTATGTACGTACGTACGTACTTACGTATGTATGCATGTGCATATATATATATATATATTATATTCCACACATGTTTATGTGCATAAACATATTCAATATATATATATATATACGTATATATATATATGTCGTTTATTGATATTGTGTGTAAGCACATAAGCATGTACAACACAAACGCCATAGACAACTAAATAATGAAATAATAACAAACCTCAAGCTAAATAAGCAGATACACATGCAGAAACAAAAAACTATAAATAGCAAAGAGAAAGACGCAAACAAAGAAGAAAGGAACCGCTGCCCCAAACCGTTGCTTGTGGTAAGGCCACCTCCAAGGAACCCCTCCTAAGTTGGTGATGGAATCCTTATATGTTCCAGATCCGCGGATCCAAAAAACCAACCTTACCCCTGACACTAAGATACATGTGCATGGTTACAAATACGTAAAATGATCCACTTGGGATGGATGAAGCACTGCAAACAATGGTTATTACACCACCCACCAACTGGTGCAGGATATTGTCCATCCACAGCACATACCACATGGCATCAATTTGAATGTAATTTCTCAGCTGCGTCTCTGTCTGGACACGAAAGCGTCCAGCCCCTAAAGACGCCAGCGGAGAAATCCGCGTGCAGAGCGCCCAAATTGATTTTGCTATCGACAGGCTCAAAGCTCAAACAAACAAAATAGGTGATGTCCCCAACAGCAACCCCGAAGCTTCCGGCTGTTGAGGAAGAACACCTTATTATAACCGAAACAAAGAACAGGTAGGAACCGTCTCACCTGATATGTTGCCTTTGGAATGGATCCGTTTTGGGCATCCGCCGATTTGCGCACATCTCTTCCTCTATG